ATTAATATTGTATCTTAAATGTGGTTTAAGTTCTTAGATTAGAAAACAAAACACTGAGTGCGATGACATGTTGGTATGATGACTATTAACTTTGACTGATCACTCAATTTAAGAATCTTAAGTTTGACCAGTTACAAACATTAACCATCCTTAACGGTCCAATATTCCTTATTATTATTTTTCAATTTTCATGTAACCGAATTCTTACAATCTGATTATTATTAGGTGTTTTAAAATCGGAATTCCATGTGCCTCATGTGTTTTCTGCTTCTCTCGTAATTCCCTGTTGGTAAACTAATTATTTCTTGATGAAGTGAGTAACTAACTAATAGCGAACATTATATTCTTGCTAAATCTTTGATTAACCAAATCTATTTATCCGCAACATGTAGTCAAAATAAGCATCTTATATTCAAATATATTTTGTCATGTTCTCAAAGATTATGATTCCCTCTCCAAATAAAAATAATAATCGAGTAATTTTGAAATTTTGTATTTATAGAAATGGAATTAGAATTTCTCTCAGTGCTCAAAGTGTATATGTATACGTATGCATATCTATATTTCTGAAGTCTGATGATTACCTCAAATTCTGACAAAACTATATAAAACAGATTTATTCTTTAACAAAAAAAAGTTACATATATATTAATTTCTGTCTCAATAGTTATGTTACTTATGTATCTATTAATCTATGTTGTGTATGTATATATACATGTATCATGTACATATAAGTAAGAAACAAGTTTGACTTAACTTGTCTAAAACAAAAAGAAAGAAACAAGTTTGACTTTCTACTTGCGGGAATCGGAATAGTGGTTTAAGAAAATTTAAGATAGATCATGGCACATGCATTATCTTGTTGTAAATTGTTTAATCTATCAGCATAATTAAGTTTCCCTTTAGATATAAAATATTATTTTAACTAATTAAGAGATAGAGTAATCAGACCAATTTTTGGGGGAAGATTTTAAACGACTTCGTGAAATGAATATACGCCCGACGCGTGGCTGTTTCTTCTAATATACTTTTTGATGTCCCGTAGATAGAGATTAACCATTTATATGTGTTTGTTATTCGATTAATGGGGGATTTTTGGCATGCACATTACTACTACGTGGACGTAATATATGTGCATGCATATGGATGAAACGGCCACGTATAGAATTTCGGGAACGCAATTAGATTCTCCCAATCATTTGGTGTTCATAATTGTATTTTTTTCATCATATTTTTAAAAAAATTAAAATTTATTAATTAACACAAGATAATTTACATACAAGGATAACTTCAGAAAACAAAACAAAAATATTGGTCGATGCATTTATTCAAATTATCATGCAAAAACTTAAATTTGAGTTTGACTTATCATCATCATAGTTTCCTTTTCTAAACAAAATGCATATGCATATATGAATTCAAGTAATATAACAAAATAGTATATATGTGATATTAGTATTGATTATCTAAAGGAATTTTTACCGCGAGCACAAAGTAAGAAAGGATGTAACCAATATTACAAAAGAATTCAAACATTTTAATGCTACAAACTACATTTTCTATAAAAATAAAAAAAAAAAAATCTTATAGCTCAGGGTAAAAAACCTGTATGAAATCAAAAAGTTTGAGCCAACATTTTATAAACTTTTAGTCGATAATGAAAAGTTCCAGTTCCTTATCCAAATTTACCGCAAACCTTGTAGAAATTAAGTAAAACAAAAAATATCATCAGATCACAGCAAACACTTTTGATTTCAAATAACTACATTTTTACAAGTTTTGCAGTAAATTTGGATAATGAATTGGAACTTTTCATTTAATGAAAATAAATAAGAAGGAGAGCAAGTTTACATACAAAAATAATATTGTACTACTTAGAAAAAAAAGTTCAACAAAATGCGGTGCTAGTGTAAAGTATAAACCATTCAAAAACCATTTTTATAAGGAAGCAACATTATTAGTCTTAACAATACAACGGTGAAGTGTATATATATAATTGTCCATAACATATATTATTAAAAATTAAGGATTAAAAACACATTTACATATGACAAAAAACCTCTTCAATAAGTTTAAAAAATATGTGGCCGTAGTTAAGTAAGTCTTGTTAAAAATTGAAGTGTTTTATTTCTCATATTTGTTTGTATATGCACATTCTATGGACTCTATTCAAGTATTCAGTAAATCATTAATGTCTATATCCGCATACCGTTGACACAAATTTGGTCAGAGCCGCTGGATTCTTTCAACTACTAAAATTCGGCAATTATGGAGGATTCTTATTTCTTAGGATAAATACATCAATTGGGAAATGATAAGGATATTGCTAATATTTTCTTCGACTATTTTAAATTTGATTTTATGTAATGTATACTCAGCTTTTGGGAAGGAGCCATGTGACAAAATATATGCATCCCTTGTTTAATTTGATAACATGTATAAAATTCTCCATTATTACACCTAAAGGATAATATATGTGCAAGAATGTGATCATTGCATAAGCGTTTTAATTAATTTTTAATATCTACAACTACAAAGGGAGCTTTTAGTGAGATATCATTGAACCTTTACCAAAACTTCAGAAAGAAAAAAATTTACTTGTACTATATATTCCATTTCTATTGATTATTTTATATATAATAGTCATCTAAAGTATACAAATACCACCAACCAAACTCAAGTGCCGGTGGAAAAGTCTAACCAAGGCCGGTTAATGAAATATAATCTAACTTCATTAATTTTATTAGTATTCAATTATCTCAAGATATACAACACAATTTAAAATTATGATTAGAAACACAATGTAAAAACTCAATTCCATAATCCCTCAACTTACAAGATAAAGTATATGTTCTATCTGTCATGTACATAACATGTCAACCACCTGAAACTTATGGAAAAGTCTAACCAAGGCCGGTTAATGAAATCTAATCTAACTTCATTAATTTTATTAGTATTCAATTATCTCAAGATATGCAACACAAATTAAAATTATGATTAGAAACACAATGTAAAAACTCAATTCCATAATCCCTCAACTTACAAGATAAAGTATATGTTCTATCTGTCATATGTACATAACATTTCAACCACCTGAAACTTATCTTATTTGATACTAGTTCATTATTTAAATTTAATTTGATTATTACTTTAGATTAATTACTATATTTTACCAGCATTCAATCATTCATACATTAGTTAGTTTTGTTAAAGATCATTCATTCAGTATTAAAATTATGCTGAAATAATTCATCAGCCACGTTTAAACTGAATCATTTACATAGTTCCCACAAAATAAAATATACTTTAGTGATATAAATTTTTATAAAATTGAAAAAAATTCTCACAAATACAACTATATTTTCAGCAATAGTAGTATGTATATTCTGAAAACCCTTCAACAAAAAAAAAGGTATATATTACCAATTATTGTGATTTTTAAAACATATACAATGTGTACAAATATAAGGCGCCCGTCGTACATCCACTACGTTCTAATTTATTGATCAGGAAGAAAAATTCCAACTTTTCCATTTCGAGTTCAATTTTTGTTCTTATAAAAGAAAGAAAAAACGTGTAATGGAAGATTCATAGAAAGTAGTATAAACCGAACAATACCATAAAGGACAACAATCCTAAACTAAGATATAACAAAACAATTCAATAAGTTGACCCCAACAAAAAAAAGGATTGTATTAAAATCCCATTGCAAATTTGATTTGACGTGGTTAGGTAGTCGGCAGACGAGTTGAAGTGGGCCAAAATTTAGCCCCCCACTGCCTTAGCTTCACCATCCATCCAATCCTCGTGGTTGCACACGCCTTGCCACCGGATTTATTTTAACAGAAGTTGAACCAAAATTACCTAAAAAAGGAAAAACTCAAATGACCTAAACTCATTATAAATTGTCCCCAAAACGAAAAAAAAATATTAGATTATACTTTTCTATAAAATGTTAACTCAATTCAATTTCAAAACAAATCAGTTATAATGAACACCACATAATTGGTACCTCAATTATATCTTCCTGTCTTACGCAAATCCTTTTGTTCCCTAATGCTCGGATTGGCTAAAAGTTGTTTCTAGCAACAACATATATATGATAGGTGTGATGATTATTTAGAATCGGGTTTGTTATAGAAGGGTTAATCACCTGGCCAATCAAACCAGTTTTTGAAACACTAATTAACCGCAATTAATATCAACTCACATTTAAAATGAAAGAATTTAACCTAGCCAACTCATCAAATACTTGTACACTTGATTTTGAACCGAACTTTGACCTAGTTCGATCATTTTGATATTTATACATATACTTCAATATACATCTCTACATCACAAGTAATTTTATTCTCCAAATCCATCTACAAGCTCATGGGTAGGACCATACACGATCAGAATAATTTGGATGATGTATATTACTATCACTGGTCCATTGCGCCCAGTTGATTACCCTTTCACATCATTAAATTTTAAACTACATCTCTGTGTAATATTCAAAGCTCAGGTATAAGTACCATCACCAACTAATTTCTACTAATAAATCAGGGCATATGATTATGGATTGTTATGAGATACTCTAATCAAAGTCCCATCATCAACTTTGGAAGAAAAGAATCGAATGATTCCATTATAAAAAAGCTTTAAATAATATAATCAACTATTTCGCATTTTAAGCAAAAGCATATGATTATATGGGGAAACCTTCATTAAACTATTAGATTTTAATCAGCTACACTTATTGAAGAACTTTTGTATTTATTTAATTGATCATAAGTTTAACCTTAGAATGCGCAAATCACATGCAGCTTCCTCAGAGCTCGTGCTTTATATAAACTCACAAACATCACTTCCAATCTCCAAACACATTCCAAAACATCTCATTTCTTAATCAACAAACACAAACTTATTCAATTTCACTACTTTCGATCAAAATCTACCAAAACCTCATTCACTTTCAGTACACATATTTATCCATTCGATCAAACTCACCCCTGAAAATGGAGAACATGTTTAGACTCATGGGAAGTGAAGATTTCTCCGACAGAAGACGGTGCATTTGGGTTAACGGTCCAGTTATCGTCGGAGCCGGGCCATCGGGGCTAGCCACGGCGGCTTGCCTCCGCGAGCAAAGCGTTCCCTTTGTGGTGTTGGAGAGAGCAGAGTGCATAGCTTCACTGTGGCAAAAACGAACTTACGACAGACTCAAACTCCACTTACCCAAAAAAGTTTGTCAATTACCCAAAATGCCCTTCCCGGAAAACTACCCGGAATATCCAACAAAACGACAGTTCATCGATTACCTTGAGTCCTACGCTACCCGATTCGACATCACCCCTCAATTCAACGAGTGTGTTCAGTCCGCTCGGTACGACGAGACCAGTGGTCTCTGGCGCATCAGGACGACAACTTTATCTCCTTCCTCCGCCGTGGTCGGCTCAGAGATGGAGTATATTTGCCGGTGGCTTGTGGTTGCAACAGGAGAAAACGCGGAGAGAGTTGTTCCGGAGATCGATGGGCTCACGACGGAGTTTGACGGCGAGGTGATCCACTCGTGTGAGTATAAATCCGGCGAGAAATACAGAGGAAAAAGTGTTCTTGTCGTCGGATGTGGAAACTCCGGCATGGAAGTTTCGCTTGATCTCGCAAACCACAATGCTAATCCCTCCATGGTTGTTCGTAGCTCGGTAAGTTATAAACTCAAAGTTTCCATTTTTACTCTCGGAAATCAATAAAAATTCAAACTTTAAATTTTATTTTGCGATTTATCTTAATAAAGTTTCGAGCTTTAAGCTAATCTGGTTATTGGGTATTTTGATATTGATCAGGTTCATGTGTTACCGAGGGAGATTCTAGGCAAATCGAGTTTCGAAATCACAATGATGCTAATGAAGTGGCTACCTCTATGGCTAGTAGACAAGCTTCTGTTGATCCTCGCATGGCTGATTTTGGGAAACTTGTCAAAGTATGGGCTAAAGAGGCCCAAGATGGGCCCAATGGAGCTCAAGGTCGTTACAGGGAAGACTCCAGTGCTTGACATCGGAGCTATGGAGAAAATCAGATCCGGCGAGGTAGATATCGTCCCCGGAATCAAACGGTTCTCTCGTAGCCACGTGGAGCTCGTGGACGGTCAGAGACTAGATCTCGACGCCGTGGTTCTCGCCACCGGTTACCGCAGCAACGTCCCTTCTTGGCTTCAGGTGAGAGAAACAAAACAGCTTCAAATATAATTCAACCTATTTGTATGGTTACTTGCATTACAAGTAAAACTGAATATGTTTGTTTCTCTCTTTGTCTCTCTCCAGGAAAATGATTTGTTCTCGAAAAACGGGTTTCCGAAATCGCCGTTTCCAAACGCGTGGAAAGGGAAATCGGGACTCTACGCGGCTGGATTCACGAGAAAAGGATTGGCCGGAGCATCAGCAGACGCCGTTAACATCGCTCAAGACATTGGAAACGTGTGGAGAGAAGAGACCAAACGACAGAAAATGAGAACACGAGTGGGTCATCGCAGATGCATTTCAGTTGCTTAGGGCTCAAGTTAGGGCTCTTTACTTTCATTTATTATTTATTTTTCAAGGGGTTTTGGGGGCAAAAAGAGTCTTTATTTATTATTTCATTTTTTTGTAAAAAAAAAAAGTAAAGAAGAAGAAAGTATACAGATAAAAAGGTAGAATTAGACAGAGTGTAAAAGAGAGCCCTCTCCTTGAAGACCCAACGGTGTTGTTTTTGAAGGCTGTGTGGGCGTTTTGTATAATTAGGATGATGTGGCATTTCTCTTCATTTTCTTAATTTTTTATTTTTGTAATGTTTTTTTTGTTATTGAATTTGTTTTTGTAATGGCTTTATGAAAGGTAATAAACAATAATTCGTTAATCGTTATCATACTTCAAGTTAAAAGTTCCTTTATTTGAGTTCTTTTCATTGCAAAATAAGTTTGGCTATGATATAATACCATAAAGAAGAAGAAACAAAATATATCAAAGGTACAAGTTTGAGACTTTGAGTACCGGTAGTGAATTGGAGAATCTGGTATTTGATTATCTAAAAGAACAAAATTTGGCTATGATCATGACTTCATGAGTCTTAAGGTTATAGCCACTGATTAAAGTGCAAGAGATTAATAAAAGCCCAACTTTTGGCCCACTAATAAATGTTAAACCATAAGATATACGTAAGCCTTCTTAATTAGTGTTCCTTAAGCATGCATGGATAATGAAAAGTATAGAGTTCTATTATAGTAGAGACGACATCTACAAAATACAATGTATATAAATAAGTTTAAAACCTGGAATATCAGTAGAAATTAATGGAGCTTGCATGCTGATAATGCTCCCTTGATCACGAACACGGGACACGAAATTATATGGCGTGCTAATTGCCTCTTTAATTGGAGTGGTAATCTTATCATCATTGTCAATAATTAACTAAAACATCTGTCCGTAAAATCTTATAAGGGTTCATAAATTGGTAGAGTGATTAGAAAGAAAGATCGGGGTCTGAATCTTTTTGAGAAAACATAATCAATCTTTCTGTTTGTCGTTCCTTTGACATAACAACAGAGGATGCATCGGAACCAGATGGAAATGGATGAAGCTTTGGCTATGTCTCTGATGTATGATGATCCCACAATTAACGATGAAATTACTGCAAGGCAGCTTCAACAAGAAGGTAAATTGTTTATAAGGTTTCTTGAAATGAACCAATATCCGACCCGGTTCTGTGAAATTTAGAACATGTTGCTACAATTGAGATATAAGTATATTTGAATTATTTGATTCGTTACAAAAGGTTTGCTAAATGTAGATTCTCCGCAAGTCTCATTAAGTGATGACGAAAAATATGCTAAATTGCTACAAGAAGAAGAATGTAAGTGTATTTTCTTCTCATACTTTTATTTAATTTGACTATTATTATTTTCATATCTCAGTTGGAAATGTGTACAAATTTTTGTGTGTGGTAATGTATGTCTAAATTGATCTATACGTACGTGTCCCAAGATATGGCGAATCATGTTGCGTCAACGGACGGTGTAAACCAAATTACCCATCAATTCCAAGACCTAGAAGGTAATTAGACGTAGAACTCTCAACATTATATATATACAAATTGTAGAGTAATAGTGTCGAAATATTATATGTATGTCGCACTTCTAATCTGCAGTGAACCCTTCGACCTCCCTTAACCGTGATAGCTCTCCACATCACCAGAGTCATGTTGGTGACTCCAGTTCTCAGCCTCTTCCTTCTAATGATGATATTGATCCTGAGAATATGACTTATGAGGTATTCATACTATAACAAGGATGTTTACAAACTTTTTGTGATGAAAAACAAGAGCAAGAGCTAGTAAAAAAAAATCTTATATAGAAAATGTCATACCTCTGGTTAGGAGTTGAATGAATTAGGAGAATCGATCGGAGCGGTCAGCAAAGGATTGTCGCAGAGTAGAATCGATCAAATACCAACTCATAAGCATGGTGCGACTGCGATCTCATGGTTTAAAAATAAAATTTCTGGTTCCGGACAAAATCAGTAAGATTACATACAATCTATACCCTTTTTTTCTTTGTTTATATGTATGACAGTTTCTCTATATTGCACTTTTTATACACTGTTTTACAAACAAATATATATATATATATATCTATAATTTTAATTTTCTATTGGATAATGAAAAACGAAAATATTATGACATGTTTTTTCTGAAACAAAATTACAATTTTGAAACACCTTTTTTCTTTTGCGAAATAGGCATAAACTATTGTAAATATAAGCTCAGTCTAATTTGTTCGATGTTATAAATATAAGTTCTGGTTTAATTACATGAAATTCTAAATTGCTTCTTTTTTTTTATGAAATTTCTAAATTGTTTTGTGTTTCTTTGTGGGGGATATTGAAGGTGTTCGATATGTTTTATCGATTTCAAGAAGGGAGATACGCTATCGACTTTGCCTTGTACTCATATCTATCATAACGAGTGCATTTCACATTGGTTAAAGGATAACAAGGTATGAACATAATTGAATGTAGTCTAAAATCAACTTATTTTATACTGTGTACTCAAAAATACTTAGCCTAATGACAACTATAGTTAAAATTACACTGTAATGTTCTTTCTCAAAATAAAAAATTATACTGTTATATTAGATGTCAATTGTTTTTTTTTTTTGTATATGCAGATTTGCTGCGTTTGCACAGTGGAGGTTAAGCCATAATACTAATGCTCGTTGGAGTAGTGTTTTTTTTTTATATATAATTTATCGTAGATTAAGTAAATGACAATAAAATCAAATATTTAAGATGTTAAAAAAATAAGATTATCAGTAAAATTTTATTCAGTTATGATTTTAGATAATGGTTAAGTTTTTAAAATATATCTTCTCAAATCTCAAGTAACTTAAAAAACTAAAAATTATAATCATGAATATGTATGAGATACAACTTTAAGGTTTTTTTTTGTCAATAATTAAAATACTCACACGTGTTATATTTGATTGAATGTTTGTTATATGTGTTAACTAACCGTGTTAATTAAATCAACATAGTCCTAGTTTGACACGAATTATAATAGTTTGATATGTAATAATCTATCTATTACTAATAAAAGTTGAGCCTATATGCATTAGAGGCTGTCCACCTAGGATTTAAAAGGTTGAATTTGATTGGTCCATGTCATTATTTTTTTTTTTTGCTTTTAAATTAATTTATGTAAATTTTCTATTTTAAGTTGAGCCTATATGCATTAGAGGCTGTCCACCTAGGATTTAAAAGGTTGAATTTGATTGGTCCATGTCATTATTATTTTTTTTGCTTTTAAATTAATTTATGTAAATTTTCTATTTTACATATTATTTATTAATTAATTTTCAGTAAAGATAATTTCTCTGATTTTACAATTTTCGAGAACTGAATTATAAGTTTCATATTCATAGATTATCTAAATTTACATATATTATTAGTATTAGTTTCTTTTTAGTGGAAAATTTACACATGTTGTAAGTAATTATAGAAATAAATTTCCTATTCAGCCAAAAAGATGCTATGGTGTAGCGGTTATCACAATTGTCCTAAACTCAACAGGTATTGAGTTCGATCCTTTGCAGTCCCCTGTTTTTTTTTAAACCGTTTCAAAAATAATTATATGGACATTGCCATTAGGTTACCACAAAAAAAAAAAAAAAAATCAGACATCGGCATCTCCAAAACGGGATCTGCTACATCTTCTTCCCCTTTTTTCTACAAACCCTAAAACTGCATCTCACAAAACTCTCTCTCTCTCTCCACCGTCAAACAACAAAAATTCATTCTTCATTTCACAGATTTCGTAAATCGAATTGGATTTATTTTGCCCTAAACTCCCTATTTCGCATTGTTGCAAGTTTGAAGCTTCAGTACAACTTCAGTTGAGGGAGTATTAAACCAAAAATGGAGAAATTCGGAATCTATTACTAAGATAAGTCTTGTGATTTGACTGTACAATTCGGCTGCTTTAATTTCTGGCGAATATAAGATTGCTTCTTGGCATTTTTTTCTTATTTCTTCTTCCAAATTTATTTCTTGGTTTCATTATTTCGTTTTAGTCTAGAAGATTCTTGAAAAACAAATTGGATATTGTTTGATAAAGATTAGGATTTGGATAGTTCCTATTTTTGTAATTATCACTTCTCTAATTTCCTTATTGTACAATGACATTGATATACATTGATTCCTTTTTCCATTAGGAATAAGATGATCTTAAATCCTATATATACGTGGTCTTATTGCCACATGAAACCAAGTTCATAATATACATTCACATCTCTCAATCGATTTTTATAAGCCATGGCAAATTCATGCTCTTCTGTTTCTAATCAGTTAAGCCATACTTTGGTTTTCGATGATCTAAAAAAAGGTTTCAAAATAATGATTTGCTTGTCAGAGTCATCCACTTTTGGGAGGCACGAAACGTTAAAAAAGGCGGATTACTCATGGGTGTAGAACTCCTTCTCATGGATCAGAAGGTACTTAATCAAAGGATTTTAAAGAAAAAAATTGAACCTGAAGGCTAAGGACGTTTGATCTCTGTAAAAACAAGAAAACCAAACAAAAAGGGGTAAAGTCAATGAGAAGAGATTTCAAATATTATTAAAAACGACCAGTGAAAGGAGAAAACGCTCTAAAACTCGACAGCTATAAGTCTCAGGAACTTGCCAAAGCAATTGCCACCACCTAGAGTTATACATTTATCACCAATTCGCATCCGGACAATTAGATTACAAACAAAATACACCATTTGGATATCAGCAAAAAAAGATTGAAAATACGGAAAATCATAACCTTCATCGAAGCCATTAGCTGAGAATCAGGAGAAGAAAGAAGCATCGAAACTCAGGGAAGGGGATGATGAGATGCCAAGAACAGTGATTTTGATGACTTTAAAACGAAGTCATTGACTAAAGCCATTGAAGAAAAGTTGTGCTCCATATGAACAGAAAACAAAACCAACGAGATATTTCAAATATCAAATTGATAGCTAAACCGAACCGAAACAAACATAGACTGATTAAACATCAACAAAACTAGCAAACACCGAGAAAACCCAAAATTTAACTCGGTGACGTTATCGAAAATCATTTGACCAAAAAATCAAACCATCAATCGGCGATAAAGGGGAAAATTCGAGATTGGTACCTAAGTTAATTGAGAAATTCAGAGCGAGAGTCGAAGGAGATCGAAAAGAAGAAGAAGCGTGAGCTCTCCCCTGGTAATAACAAGATTAGCAACAAAGAAGAGGGATCTAAATGATGAGATGGTTCCGGTGGGAATAAGGAAGAAGAAATATTGTTCGATTGTGGTCGGTAAATGAAAGAAAAAGAAATGAAGCATTTCTAATTTCTATGAGATAGGAAAATCGAACCGTAACAAACCAAAAGAATTTAACCGGGAATTGGAAAAACAATTAAAAGATGATGACCACGGGAAGAAGAAGAAGCCATATGATATGGAAAAAGTGGGAATACATTTAACACGATTATATCATATGAAACAATTAAAAAAAAAATTATTTTTTACTCCTGATCTTTCTGATTCCTTTCTTCCAACAATGATTTAAAAATAAAGAGATGAATTTATTGATGGAATTAAATGCAACATAATTAAAATTACAAAAAAAATTAAGTATAAATCATAAATTCATAGCTGGAAAAGCTAAACAAATAAATAAAATTAAAAAATAAATTAAGAACTAAAATATGTATTAGACTAATATTGGATAAGTTTGCCAGATAACCTTTATTGGATATAAAAAAAATTGTCTTGTAAAATTAAGGGATTAGTTTAAGAAATTTGAGGATTGGGCTGTTGTATGTTTTTATGACAAAAAATATTTTTAAAAGGTATCTTACTTATTATGACTACTTATAAAAATAATTAAATTGGTTAGGTAAAAAAAATTAAAAGTATATTACAAAAAAATTTATTAAAAAAAATTATAAACAAAAATTGAAAAATAGTGAAGCATTTTAAAAATCTTTTTTTAATAAATGAAATTATTATTTTCATCTCTTATCAAAGAAACAAAAAAAAATTGATGACTCGAACTTGATATACAAATATTCTTAATTGAATCATACATTTTCTTAATATTATTGAATAAAATTAAAATAAAGAGGACATAAGATTTATTTACAAATATTAAAACGGAACCCGCGCGTGCGCGGGTAAAACACCTAGTACTATATAAAAGTTGAGGCTATAAGTCTCTGAGAGCGTCTACATCAGCTTTTAAGAAACCAATTAAATTTTGCCAAATCAGCATTTTAATTTTAAAATCGAAAATTAAATAATTTTTTAAGAAAAATTACATTATCGTACATATCGTATTAAAGAATGGAAATTGTACTATTGTAAATTTTAATACTTAATTATGGCATAAATTACCTTAATCCATTATTTTTAATAGTTTATGGAAATTCAACATAAAAAAAAGTTAAACTAACAAAAATCTATACTATATAAAAGTTGAGGCTATAAGCCTCTAAGAGCGTCCACATCAGCTTTTAAGAAACCAATTAAATTTTGCCAAATCAGCATTTTAATTTTAAAATCGAAAATTAAATAAGTTTTTAAGAAAAATTACATTATCGTACATATCGTATTAAAGAATAGAAATTGTACTATTGTAAATTTTAATACTTAATTATGACATAAATTACCTTAATCCATTATTTTTAATAGTTTATGGAAATTCAACATAAAAAAAAGTTAAACTAACAAAAAGAACAAAAAAAGAAAAAAAGAAATTATGAATAAACTGGAAACTCAATGTTGAAAAAGGTAAACTAACTAAATTAAGAAATTAACAATTTAGCTATTTTAATGTTTGGCATTGGCTATAAATAGTCCTCTAAACTTTAGAATACACATACACGAGTTCTAAAGACAACTATATTCTTAGAGAGAGCATTTATTAAAATAAGTATGTCTTCTTCCAGCTTTTCTGTTTCTGATCACTTACGGTCTCCTTTATTTTCGCTAAACTCACTAGAGGATTTACTAAGAAAGAGCTGCTTGCTAGAGTCATCCACTTCTGGAAATCAAGAAACCCTAAAAATGGAGGTCTGCCTATAGGATATGAACTGCTTCTAATTGATCAAAAGGTAACGACACAAACATTAATCACCAATTATTAGCTTCCAAGGTATCATCAATGCTAAACACATAATTATGAATTGCAAGTAGACATCACCATCTTTTAAAAAGCATGGAACTTTGGTGATTTGAGGGACTTTTTAAAGATAAAGAGGCAATTTAATCTACCAAATATATATAAAAAAAAAGCTTTAGACAACTAAAGAACTCGCAAATACTTAGTCAACACAAAAAAGAAAAGAACAAAATCATAAATTAGATAATAAACCTTCACTTGGGTGAGAAACAAGTAACTCGACAAGTACTCGGAAATTGATAAAAGAAAACTCGCTCATGATAGAGGCAAAGTCCTTAGCTTTACCCCAAAACGTTCATCAAAAGGCGGCAATTTTGAAAAACTAGACATTTCTGAGTCTCTAAAACTTGGCGGAGCAGTTGGCATCACCTAAAGTAATAGATTTATCACAAATTTGGATCGGAAGAAATAGACTAAACGCTAAACACATAATCTCAACATCAACAAAACTGGCTTCAAAATAAGGAAAATTCAAACCTTTCACGAAGTGATTAGCTTGAGAGAATCACTAGAAGAAACAGAGAAATAAAGTCTCGGAAGAGGGATTAAAGCAGAAACTGTTCCATCAATCAATTGATCTAATTAGTTTTGACAGGTCTCAATCGCTCAGAGGAATTAAGGCAAATATCCAAGATGAGAAACAAAGAAGAGGGATCTCAATGATGAGATTAACAATGTTCCGGTGGGAATAAGGTAGAAACATTGTTCGATTTTGTTGTCGGTCAATGAAGAAAGACAACGAATCATTTCTAATTTCAATGTGATAGCAAAACTGAACTGTAACAAACCAAAACAATGGAACCGGGAATCGGAAACGCGGTTGTTAATTAAACAGAATATGAAAAAGAAAAGTTTGGAATATATGAGATTTTTTAACTATCAAAAGAGTTATTTAAAAATAAAGAGATGAATTAATTAAATGGAATTGAATGCAAAATAATTAACCAACAAAAAAATATAAATAAATTAAGTATAAATCATAAACTCAGAGCTGAAAAAGCTAAACTAATAAATAAAATTAAAAAGAAAATTAACAATTAAAATATGTATTAGACTAATTATAAAATTATTAAATTGGTTAAGTAAAAAATAATTAAAAAGTATATTACAAAGAAAAGTTTATAAAAAAGACAGATAGCAAAAATTAAAAAATTGTGAAGCTTTAGTAAAAAAAAATAATTAATAGTTTAAAAAATCATTAGACCAGCGCGGGTCAAAAACCTAGTTTTAATTAAAGATAAGAGTTTTAGCATTTTTGGCTTTCTTAAAGAAGTTGGATATCTAATTCCTTTTCCTTTTTAAAGAATAGGAAATCTGAAGGCTATATATATATAAACTTTACAAACCCTTATACTCATTACAAAGAGAGAGATCGAAGAAAAAACTTGTGTACTGATGATGGAAAACGAGAACTGGATCTACAAAAAAGTTTGGGATAAAGAAGGAAAGCCAAAGAAATCAATTCGTGATGAAGAAGTAACTTCAGAGAAGTTGAGTGACGACTTTTTGTTGAGTCAAGAAGACGACTATAGACGACGTCGCTGCATCTATCTGCAGAGCTACAAGCTGAACAACGCCAAATCCAATAGAGACATACATACAATATCGACGACTGCTCATAAGTTTTTGTTTAGGTTGAAGAAGCTCGTCCGCTGTAATCGACGTAGTCGAATGTGATGTGATTGGGAGATGATTGCGATCGTATCTTTATGCCTAAGTATGGTTCTTATATTAGATAAGAGACTACCATAGGGTTTTCTTTGTTAGTAGTTTGGTTGAATAACTACGTACGTACTTGGGTCGAATTTAGGGTTTGTTAAATTGATTGAAGAACGTATTTGGCCAAATTCGGGTTTTCAGGTCTAACCGTCTAAGGGGTTTGACTTTTTAGTTTTATTCATTCCTTTGTCGTCATTTTTTTATTTATTAATTTCTTTTAAATAAAGTTTATAGTGATATACAGACAAATCCATAATCAGTCATAACAAAAGGAGAGTTTAAAGTTAAAACTAAACTTTGTAGAACTCACAAGTTTAAAGTTAGAACTCAGCATTGGGAAGTCTACTGCATTCAAATACAACCAACGTAAGATGAAATCAGAAAGAGTATGAAGGAGAGTTTCTGAATCATAACGTAACAGCTAAATATTTCACCACGAAAAGGTTCTCAACATCATAAGCCACAACATCACACCATTGCATCTTACCCCAAATCACTCGTCCTTGCCGTCTTTCCAAAGCAATCTCCGCACAGCAAATCCCTTCTTGTTTATGAAACAAGATTCCCAATTTCCCACCGTAACTAACCGTATAGGAATACAATAAACCGGCCATCTTAAACAACAATTCTTCCAAACCTTTCACCACACTCCAACACCTATGCTTTGGATCATACGCTCTCAACCTATTCTTGTAACGATCATGATAATACAACACATCCTCAACAACACACGCATTACACCAACTCTTTGAATTCAGCATCTCGTCCAGTTCCCATTTCCTTTCCTTTGGCCCATAAACAAAGCTCTTTTGAAAGCCTCTCATGTAAATCTTATCCTCCATCACCACCACATTATCAAACTGCACGCTGTCTACATTCATGTCTGACTTTGGCTTTATAATCTCAGGCTCCCACGTTTGAGTTTCTGTATCCAACACGGCGACTCCCTTTGACCATTCCTTGTCATCATAAAAAAAGCAATCTCCGATTACGTAAATCTTTCGGTCGATGATGGCAGCACCTTTATCAAACATCTTCTTAGGCATGTTGGAGATGGGCTGCACCATGTGAGATCTACAATCGATGCACCATGTAATGTCACTGAAATGTCCAACAACCACATATATCTTCGAGTTCACCGCCACGTATCTTCCGAATCCATCGTGAGGCATAATAAGAGGAAGTGACCGAATAAGGACCAAGCGATTATTGCTGTTGAGAATATACAAACGGTGATGACAGGTGTTTTGGTTAAAGAGGACAGCATAGAGACAGTGTTCGGTGCAGCCTAACAAGGATCTTCTCTTGTATAGCTCAGGCGACGCAACTAAAGCTCGGAAACTCTTGGAAACGAGAGAGATAGTCGGATAATATCTTCTCGCTACACGTGCTACGATATCAACGATCATGTCATCTGGAAGTGACGTAATCAGAGATGGCGGCTCCTCGGACGATTGCTCCTTCTTTGCGTTAACTTTGGAAGACATAAAACCAAAAAAAAATTTGGAAGACATAAATTTATGCTCAAATCACCGAGAGAGAGAAAAAGTAAATCACAAATCCTTAACTTCTGATTATCTATATTAATATTGCTCGGGTTGAGTCTCCAACTTTGGTTTGTGATCTCTCTCTCTCTCTATATCGGCTAGGGTTTTGAAACTAGTGTCGGGTCTCGTGATTAAAACAGAGGATTAAGTGAAACGACGTTGTTTAACGTTAAATTATATATATATATATATATATATATATATGTATATATTTATTCAAATGTCAATTAAAATTAATAAATATCCACATCCACATGAACTGATGAACATGAACATGAATAGACGAAGTTAGTCGCTTATGTTTCTTAGTTTTGCATACGAATTGTTAGTACAACCTCTTGATTTCATTACTATAACGAAAGCTAAACCACAACATTAATATTTTCAACTTGAATCAAGTACATAACATTTTTTTGTTTTGGTTAAATATAATTACGGTCACACACCGGAAGAAAAGCATGTGATTCGATATCGTCGAACAAAGTGAATGATCAAATGAAGCAAGAAAAAAAAGTCAATGATCGAAGGAAGATTCAACGAAAGCAAGCGAACATATATACAATCGGTTCACAAAATCTGAGTTGTTGTATTTTTTAACTAATCGTATATAATTCTGCTGTTAGTTGGAAATATCTTTACCGTAATTGTTGTAATCAATCATTAAATATAGGCTAGAGCCGAACAACTCAAGATTGATTTGTCTCCGAACTAGTATTAGCTAGTAAATGTATGTAAAAAGTCGAACACAACTGGGATAACAATATATATATATATGAACTTTCCAACGTTACAAAGTTAAAACTTACAACTGTACAAAGCAACATAAACATCAAATCTTTGTGCCAGCAAAAACAATAATAGCTTTTGATGTTAGTTTAATCATTTTCTTGTTTTTAATGTGAATAAATAACTTAAAACATATGACTCATGGCAGAATAAAATTGCGACGAATCGTTGCAGCCGAGGCATGAATAATAGGTGAAAACATTATAGTATGCTACATGTAGAACAGTTGAAATACATATATAAATATTTTATATTGCTTTAGAGAAAATACCATGCATGACGGGGTGGTGGGTTTATAAAATACAAAGCATATATTAAAATGAAGACAGCAACACATTCTTTTTTGATAAATAAGACAGCAACACATTCTATAAATAATTAAATATTTATCCCCAAAAAATGGCATACATTAATCTACAGCATATGATCGCGTATAGAGCCTAACGTTACTCTTAATTTTGCTCTCATATATATATATGATATGTATCTAACAAAAACAAAAGAAATTTTGCTCAAACTTCATTATTAACCAATACATGCTATTTCAATAGTTGAAGGTCTCTAGTCGTACGATTAGGAGGTCAGAGATCTCTCATTGCAACTTGAACTCATCGGTCATGCCTCATAATGTATATGTACTGTATGTTTTAAACGATATTTTCTCTGTCCTATATTATAAGCAGTTTGGCAAAATGTATCTGCAAAAAAAGTATGTATTTGGACAATTATTGCATCTAGATATATCCAATTTTTTGCATATACATTTTGCCAAGCTTAAGACAAATAGAGTAAATGACTTGGTATGATATAAAGTTTTTGGATTCCATAAAACAATAAAGCAGGACACAAAAACAAAGAAATCGTAACATAGATTTTACTTAAACTTTGACTATAGAGAAAGATGAGAAAATAGATAATGTTACCAGACAGAAAAAGAAACAAGGATTGAAGAGTGTTCCCTCTTAAGTTTTTTTCAGATTGCAAAGCTAGGAACTTTGGGGGAAAGGCTACAATGATTGAAGAATATTTGGTATTTACAAACATTACTTTTGGTTGATAAATTATACAAGGACAACTATTATGTTATTATCAAATAATGTACTCTATAAGACCAAGAAATTTAATTCCAATTCCGCCCCTACGAATTAATGATTTCTCTAACTCTGTACCCTATCAAATAAATTCGAAGCCCATCAGAAGCTAATGTCAATTTCTCTCCTATATATCGTACAGAAAAATAATGCAATTACACAAATTGAAACAAAAATAAGAAAATCTCTTACAGAACTGTAGTATCATGAAACTATGAAAGCATGGGTGATGGCTTCATAATTATTCTTCCATTAACGTATAACGGTTGAAAGTAACTCCAGTTTTTTCAAAATTTAAAAAATTTGCATGCCTTAATAAGCCCGCAATGATTACTGTTATTCTCACTTCTCTGGTTTCAGTTTTATTTTCCCATAATTAATTTAGAGTTCTTGCTGTCAAAAAAAAATAAAATAAACTATAATTGTTCTTGTATATGTATAAACTCCAATCCATTTTTTCTACATCATGAACTCATGAAGTTAACAGTATTATTAAAATTAAAATAATTTATAAGGTGCTACAAGTGTTTTAAATAATTCAAATAATAAGAGTGAAATTCTAATTAGAATAAAACTTGAATAAAATCTGACTAAGGAAATCTGACATATATTGCAATATGATATGGACAAAGGTTATCAGGAAACTCTTATGAACTTGTATAATTATTTTAAAAATCACCCTATGATTAAAATTCGCCGACACTAATAATCATTACGACACTATACCTTGATCGTATAAATAATAGAAACGCGGTTTAAAAAGAAAAAGAAACCAAACTCCGTTTTGTTGTTCGAAAGTCGTAACCTGCTCCATTATCGTTGGACAACACACACCACTCTCGTTTTATATCATCCACTTCCGTACCTGTCGCCTTCTATTTAATCGCATTTAATCCACGCGTTTCGCGTCCGACATTGCGTCGGTGATGTCACCACAATCTCTCCTTGACTTCAAGTCTTAACAGCGAAAACAAAAAAGCTCCCACCTTTATCGCGTTATATCGAAATTCCGGGGAAAAAGCTTCCATCTTTCTTACAGTAAACCGAATCTCCGGCGTGAAAGCTTCTGACTGTATTGTATAAATCCCGGAACTTTCACCGGAGAATGCAGATTCAGTCAGACAGGTCTTCGTCTTTGTCTTTCTCTCTATCGTCCGTTTGAAACGCCGACGTTTTTTATCAAACTTTTATGTTAGTTTCTTTTGCGAAATGTTCGGTGAAGAAGAAAGCAACAGATTTTCGATAATCTTTTCCCTGAATTTTTGCCTTTTAAAAAAAAAAAACATCAGTCTCTTTCCGATCACTTTCCCTTTTGTAACCCTCTCCGTGTTGTTTCGTCCTGCTTCTTGCCTTTTTAGAAAAAGTTATCTCTGTTCTTAAATTCTTATAGTGTCGGTAACGCACTTGCCGCGTTTGCGTTTGTTAACGCTACCGGAAGTTATCGCTTTTGTAACTCATTCAATATTCGGCTAATAAATGCTTCTGATTCGACGAAATTTGCTCTTAATTCTCTAGATTCTTTCTTTACTTCTGAAGATTTCTTTGTTTCCGTTCATAGTCTCTCTCAAAGTCCAAGTCTTAAAAAAAAAAAAACAATTCAGCAGTGAAAGAAAAAAAGCTTGAATTCGAAGTTTTCTTCTCAAAATTGTTGGTTTGTCTTGTGTACTTCAACTCTTCATTGTTTTTCTTGAATTTGATCATAAAGTTTGTTCCTTTTTTTTGGGTCTGCTTTATTAACTAAATTTTGATGTTTCAGGCGTTGAAAATGAATGGGAATCGAAGAAAAAACGTTAACCTTTCTCATGGCGGAGGGAAACAGATTCCAGGATGTTTGAGTCGGATGGTAAATCTATTCGATTTCGGAACAGTTGGTACTGGAAAGAAATTGCTCACTGAGAAACCTCATTTCGATGATGGTTAGGTTTCTTCCATCTCTCTAACTCTCTAGTCATGGTCTTTAAGGCATTTGATGTTGATATCGATGATGATGACTTCACAGGGTCTATAAAAAGGAATCAATTTGATCAAAGAGATGATAAAGCAGTGAGTTTTAACAATTGCTTTCTCTGATTGGTCTCTGTTTTATGTGATGAGAAAGTGTTCACCTTTTTGTTAATTGATGATTGCAGGATGTGAGGAGTGAGGTCAATGGAACACCGATGAAGAAGCTTCTACAAGAGGAAATGTCGAAAGAGATTGAATTTAAGCTCGCTTCGACGAATCTGGTTGCCAAGCTGATGGGTCTTGACTCTTTTCCTCAGACACAGCCTAATGCAATTGCTCAAAGGAGTAGTAACAGCTCCAAAACTCGGCTAAAAAGATCGTTAAGTCACGGTGAATATAACAATGTGTATGAGATTTGGGAGAAACCTGAGGAATTAAGCAACAAGAAGAAGATGGACATCGTCCGAGAGAAGTTCTTGGAGGCGAAACGTTTGGTTACAGACGACAAGCTTCGACATTCCAAGGAGTTTCAAGGAGCTATGGAGGTTTTGAGTTCCAACAAGGAGCTGTTCCTCGAGTTCTTGCAGGAATCCAATAACTTCTTCTCTCATCATCTCCATAGCTTCCATTCCAATGCACCACCACAGACGACACAAGAGAAGTCGAAGCGGATCACTATCTTGAAGCCTTCAAAGACCAATGAAGCAGCCGTTGAGTCTTCTAGGGAAAAGGGTCTTCCTTTGTTCAAATGGCCGGTTGAAGAAGAGTATCATCATCCGGCGAAGAAATCAACTCGGATCGTTGTTCTGAAACCTAACGTCAATGCCACAAAGGCTTCATCTTGTCCAACTTCTCCAAGAGAGTCAAAAGATGTTGTGGCAAGGAGAGTGAAGAGACAGATGTTAAAAGAAGAGACTTTACATTCTTCTTCTGTCTTCTCCAACGGCTATATCGTTGATGATAGCTCTCTTAACGATTACGCAGACTCTGAGATCATGTCGCCGGTTTCAAGGCATTCGTGGGATTACATCAATAAGTACGATAGCCCTTTTTCTTCTTCGCCGTTTAGCAGAGCTTCAGATTCTCCAGAGTCTTCATCAGTCTGTAGAGAGGCCAAGAAACGGCTTTCTGAAAGATGGGCATTGATGGCAGCGTCCAGTGAGGATTTGCAGGAGGCTAAAGTCATAGAGAAGAAAGGCTCTAATAGTACTCTAGGTGATATGCTTGCACTCTCAGATTATCTTAGAACTGAAGAAGTAGAAGAAGAAGTAAACGATGGTACTGAACAACAAGATCCGAGAGTGTCTGCTTCTTGCTTAGCTGGTGCTTTCAGTAGAGAGGAAGGCAATTCGAAGCCTTTTAATAGCCTTACGAGGTCAAAGTCTCTTCCTGAATCATTGACGAATCTTGATACAAACAAGGGTAAGTCCAAAGCTTCTGAGGAGCTGACAAAGTCAAAGAGCTTGAAGTGGTCTCTCAAAGGTAAAGTCTCAAACTTTCTTTTCTCAAGGAGCAAGAAACCAAGCAAGGAGAGATCTTTTGAGGAATCTCAAGTGGGTAATAGCGAAATCTTGGATGAGTTTGATGCATCGGTGTCTACAAGAAGCACCATTTCTCGAGAGGTATTGTACTCATACCAAAACACATTTTTTTTGCTGATTTCAATCCATTTCATCTGTTGCATTCTCTTCTCAACAGGGAGGCTTATCAATTGCAAAGCCAACAACTTTCGGAAACTCTAGCGAGTGGCACGATGAGCCGAGTCCGATTTCTGTCTTGGAAACATCTTTTGATGAAGATGATGGAATCTTTTTCAGTTCCTCTATCTTGAATAGATCATCCTCTTCTCTTGGTATGCTTTCATTATAAAGGCTTCACCTTTTTGTTTCTTTAATCGATTCCAAAATCTTGAACTTATAAATCTTTGGAATAACAGAGCCGGAGATGATGTCCATGAGATCAAACTTGTTAGGCAAATCGCCTCCGATAGGCTCCATTGGACGAAACTTTACATTCGAAGACTCAACAGCAGCAGTAGCTCGGTGCTGCTCATCAAAACGCTCCACTACTTCAACAAGAGACGAAGAAGAAGACTTGCGTCTACTCATCAACACTCTCTTATCAGCAGCTGATCTCGACGAAGAGTCTTTGTCGTCGTCGTCATCATCTTCTTGGTCGGTCTTAGACAATCTTTTGTCTAAATGGCATTCCTCAGAGAGTCCTTTAGACCCTACTCTGAGAAACAGCTATGCAGAAGACTCAACGGAACAGCAAAGACTCGGATCGAAGCTAGTGTTCGACCTCGTTAACGCGTTGCTCTTGGAGCTAACACCGAGCTATCTCGGACCACCTCGTAGTAGTTTGATGATGCTCTCTGGCAAGACATTGGAGGTTTATTTGGTAAACCGGATGCAAGAATGTTTGACGGGTAACGGAAGAGTGGAAGATCGGTGGTGGGATGAAGACGGAGACTTGAGCAGTTTGGCGGTGAATAAAGTGGTGAGGGTTGAAGTGGCGGAGATTGGTTCGCCGGAGAGTTTGAGGTTGGAGATGGATTCAATGGGAGAGGAAATAGAGTTGAAGTTGCTGGAAGAGTTAGTGGAAGAGACTTTGATGGATTTGTCAGAAGAGTCCAGATTATTTATTTCGAGTATTTGTTAATCAATATATGAATGTATATTATATGGTTTGATTGTGTGTATAAATTATACGGTGAAGCTCACATTGTATTTTTGTTTTGGGTGAATGATTGATAATGGAAAATAGTGTTTTGTTCCTCTATGTTTAGACTAAATTTCTCAATATTATTGTTCAAATACTTGTCACTGTTAATTTCATTTCGATTTTGCAAGATCTAAAAGGATCGGAGCTAGTGATGGGAAATACAGGGCTCCTTTCTATGTGCATTTAGCTCTCTCTCTTTTTTTTCCTTACATTTGGATTTAGAGAATTATTAGGAGATGGATTTAACTGATTATTAAAAAATATTGATGGTGACAAGGATATCTTACCAACACCCTCGTACATATTGATACCTTTCTCTGTCTTTTCTATCTTCTCATTACCTCAAATGGAGGGAACATGTAATTTGTGCACCGTTTAAGAAAAACAACAACAAATAAGTTAATAAACTTGGTACTGATTTTGGGGTCGCTATGTAATTATTGATGCTTATTTTTTACTTAGGCAAAGGCCACTCTTGTTAAATATCTCAATTCTCAAACCAATTTAACATTGAACTCATTTATCTTTCATACATCTCCATGCCTTGTTAGGCTGCTTAAGCATTTTTTTTTCAAATAATTTTCACCTTTATTTATCGATTTAAAATTTTCTCGATATTTAGTGTCTTGCAAATTTTGAGACAATGGAAAGTTCAAAATATATGTGGACTACATCTAATTACCAAGTATGTCGGAATTTCTAGTGTGTGAGAGATTGAAAGCCAAGACAGTATCTCAGTGATGTAATGGGTTTTGTGGAGTTCAGTTGGGCAACTGAAGGCCGAAAAACATTTATAGAAGTAGTCTCTACACTTCAGATTTTTTTTACCAACGTTTTCATTAAAAAATTAATAGGATTATATCAGCGTAATAGAGAAATCTCTAAGAGATTTCTTCTCAATGTGATTTTTCGATAAACTATTTGACAAAATATAGAACATAAACTCCACAATCTGCACTATTAGGCTGTTGAAGACTATTAGGTTGCTGAGGAACAGTTGAAGAAGCTAGGCTTAAGTTCCATAAGACTTGCACGTAATATGTACTCCATTCAAAATACAGATGAATCTTTATTTTATCGTATTTTTTTTGTTAAATAGCATTTGAATCCTTTTATTATCTTCTACAATAGAACGTATAATCTATTATAAAAATTTGAGATTTATGGTAAAAAAAAGTATATCAATATTCTCGAGACTAGTTAATCATCAAAGTTCATGATTTTCATAACTTCACATGTATTTAAATTGTGAGTGTGTTAAATAAAAGATGTGATTTATACACCTACGAGTTGAAACTTGAATGTGAACCCGCGTGCCGAAAAGGCTAAAGAGCTTTAGTTCTAAACCTTCGGCTGCAAACATTCTCATTTAACAACTAATTTTTTCTCTTCGAGTATGACATATTTTCTTATAAAACAAATTATTTATTTCATCTTTCTTCAAGACCAAGACAGTGTTTAGATTCTTTAAAAGACAGGAGTTCCCGTTATTATTAAGAGAATTATTTGGGTTTGTCCCATATATAACAAGATAATTCATCTATACAAAGACTATGTTTGACGTTTATCGCATAACCTTAAATCAGCAAATTGGATCAAATATTGAGGCTTCTCCAAGTATACACTATGAAAAAGTCGGAACAGTTTTAGGTGTGCGTCTCAAGTATGGGAAATTGAGTAGAGTGAAATCGTTTAGAATATCATTCTTATATAAATGAAAAACAAAAGGAAAATGAAGAAGATAAAGAAGAGACAAAAAGCTGAAAGGAGAAGGTAGTGAAAGAGTGTTCTGACTTGTCACGGACATAACCTTACAAACATTAGATTTGTGGTTCCATATGATGACGTGCCCCAGTCACGCCTCCACGTGCACATTATTGATTTTTCCACTCCCCCACTATACATTTATAAGCTAATTCTTTTTTTCTTCTTTCTTCCAGTTTCAGTTTCAGGTCCATATTACTTTAGAAAAACAAAGAAGACGTATATTCTCAAGATTTGTTTAGACCACAATGTTTCAAGGGTCGGATTGATAAATCTCTGATCCGGTCATTAATCTAGTTTTGGATCCGAATCCGATGACAAAACTTGCTAGTTCTATAATCTAAAATGATAATTAGCCTCGGAAATATTTGTTAATAACAGGTGATTCGGTTTTAGTGGTGTGAGTGGAAAGGGGGTTAAAAAACATTTGTTCATTCCAAGATTATAGAGCTCGTTACATTATCATTCTTCCCATATGCAATACTATTATGAGTTTGAAGTAATAAGTATTGAAATTGTACCTCCTAATGATCAGTAAAATTAATTATCGAGTGATAACTTTTTCATATTAGTGTATGAATACATAATGATCAAAAGTTTCAAAACATGGGAAGTTTACCACATGGAGTCTATATGTTTGATAATATAATTTTATTACTATAGTTTAAAAAAAAAATTATTACTAGTACAAGTTAGAGGACCTTTTGATGGTAGTCTACAATTGATTAGCATGGTAATTCAGTTAAGTGATAAGACTGAAACTAAAGTAGTAAAGTAATTAATATCATCCCATTAAGATAGGGCCACGTGTTAGTTTAGCATAACAATCACATCCAATCGTAGCAGCTAAAAACTGTACCTCAACCGCCAAATCAAATCTCTCTTGTGTCCGCTTTTAAATACCACGAAAGCTTCACATAACTTCCCTCATTCTCTCTCACATTCTCTCTCTTTCTCTCTCTCTTTTTAGACATGGACCATAAAGGCAAAGCGTTTGGAGAACATCAATGGAGGTTTAATCCGGCGTTTAAACCGCCAGAAACGCCTTTGGATTCGATGGAGTTCTTGTCACGCACGTGGAGCGCTTCCGCAACGGAAGTTTCCAGAGCCGTCGTCGCATCTCCGACTTCTCAACCTCCGCAGATGCGTTTCTCAGAGATCCAGAGCGCTTCTGACGTCACTTTGGTACCGGAAGATGAAGAGAACGGCGTCGTTTCTGGAAACACTTTCTCTTTCGCTTCGTCGGAAACTTCTTTAATGGTCATGGAACGTATCATGGCTCAGTCTGTAAGTATTCTCTTACCAAAAACGTCATCGTATTTTAAGGAAATTAATTAAATTCTTAGTACTTTGTTTTTAGTTTGAAAAACTTGGAAATCATACTAATAAATATTGTCACGCGATTCATGCATGACCACATTTATCAAACATAAGAAACTTATATTATAGTTTTCTCACCATTTTTTATACTGATTATTTTAAAATATTAAAATGTTTTTTTTGTCCCTTGTGATATTGTGACAGCCGGAGATTTCATCACCACGGACCTCAGGGAGACTTTCACATAGCTCTTTCACCGACAGTCCTCCGATCTCTCCCTCCGACATTGACGACTTTAAGGTCAGTTAAAATTCTTGAACCGGTTAAAATACAAAATATAGTGGAAAGATTTTCTTTGTGCCAAGAAAAATTATTTCTAAACCAGTGGATTGTTCTGGCATCTGAATTAGACTAGTGTCATAGAAATAAGATTAGGTGAGTTAAATCTGTGAGATAGATCTAAATTTTGGGTCTATATGGTAAATTAATAAAACACGTTGACAAAACTAAAAGGCTAAAGTGCAAGGAGAAGCAGTAGAGTAAGAAAAACAGAGGAACACAAGGCTCAGGCTTTCTCTTCGTCCCAAGCATTTTCTCTGTCACATTACTATAAGTTGAACAGTATTATTGTCTCTATTATTAAAGTTTCTTATCCATTTTTTTTAAGAGAAAATCTACTTTTTGTATTTATGTTATTAATATTATTATTAGAAGTACTCTTTCGATTTTTGTATTTATTTCGGAAAAAGTATAGTTGTTTAGCATTTATGGATTTGGACCCAATTATAGGCTGGCCTATATACACAACGGTCTATTTCCACCTCATTTTTCTTCCTACAAATACACAAGGATTAGTTTTAGTATGAAAATATCAAATTACATTATTTATATTAAAGAAGTGTTACTAAAAAAACGCGTTCGATAATTTATTAGGATACAAATAGTTGTTTAGCATTTATGATTTTGGACCCAAATATGGAGTGGCCTATGTTCACTCAGTCTTTTTTTTTTCACACCCTTTTATTAGTAAAAATACTTTGTATAAATATTTCGTTTTTTTTTTCACCAAGGTACATTTTCATAACAACTTTTCTTGAAAAATGAACAAGAAAACAAATTTGTAGTTTGCTTCGTTTCAAGTTTCAACTAGGAAATTCCACGAGAAAAGAAAATTATGTAATTTTATAACAAAAAAGAGTTCTGAATCTTTAATCGATAATCTGTATTGGGACCGGATTTGCTTTAACGTGTGCTAATTTTAAAATATTGGTCCAGCAATTCTACCGTGTAAGCCCGTCATTTAGTGGGCACGTACGTGGTCCATCCGCCGTCCCCGGAGGATCTAAAACTGTCGGCCGCTGGCTGAAGGACCGGAAGGAGAAGAAAAGAGAGGAGACACGTGCTCAAAACGCACAGCTGCACGCGGCTGTATCTGTAGCTGGCGTCGCCGCAGCTGTGGCTGCCATCGCTGTAGCCACCGCTTCTCAGTCGAGTTCTGGAAATGACGAGCAAGTGGCCAAAACTGATTCAGCTGTTGCTTCAGCCGCAACTTTGGTGGCGGCACAGTGTGTGGAAGCTGCAGAGATTATGGGAGCCGATCGTGAGCACTTAGCCTCTGTTGTCAGTTCTGCGGTTAATGTACGTTCCGCCGGAGATATCATGACGTTGACTGCAGCTGCAGCCACAGGTACCGTATACATTAGTTCTCAACTTCTCATGTCATATCACTTTTAATTTTTATAAGTGTTTGTAATAGTTCTTGTTTAACCTTTTTATTGATAAATGTGTAGCGTTGAGAGGAGCTGCAACGTTGAAGGCAAGGGCATTGAAGGAGGTATGGAACATTGCAGCTGTGATTCCGGTGGATAAAGGAATACCAAAAGGCGGTGTAGGCGGCGGTGGTGGTTACCGAGGCGATTTAACTCCCGAAGATAATTTTCTTGGGATTTGTAGTAGAGAATTGCTAGCTAAAGGTTGTGAATTGCTTAAACGCACACGCAAAGGTTGGTTAATGTCTTTATAATCGTTACAATCGTTACTACTTAGTACTTGAATACACAATAATGTCATATCAATCAATTTATATATTTTTTCAGGCGATCTTCACTGGAAAGTTGTTTCGGTATACATAAATAGAACAAAACAGGTATAAATTATTTGGACTGTATATTTTAGTTACAAATTATCAATGTGTTTATTGTTTTAATGCGCACTTTATCTTTACTGCGCAGGTAACGTTGAAGACGAAGAGCAAACATGTTGCTGGGACCTATACAAAGAAGAAAAAGGGTGAGTGAAAGTGATGCTTTGCTTATCTCTTACTCTTTCTTTATCTTTAATGCGAACCCTATACGATCAAAAGGTCAAAAAGGTACTAACTTTGGAATAGGTTTTGAAGTTTAAAGAGACTATTATAAGATCGTAGATCGTAAAGTAAAAGCTAGATCCAAAACTTTCATGAAAGTAATAACTAATCAGCTTCGTATACTAATCTCTTTTCTTTTTACTTTTTATGTTTTCTGACAAATTACAAGAAAACAAAGTAATTTTAGTCTAATGATTATTTTCTTAGACATGTCTTTTGATGACTAGTCTTAACTTTTTGGTCTATAACTAAAATGCTTTGTTTTCTAAGTCGCTGATTTTGTGATGGATTTATCTATATAGATGTGGTGGTGGAGTTGGTCAAGGGATTGCCGGCGTGGCCTGGCCGCGAATTGCTCGAAGGCGGAGAGAATTTGAGGTATTTTGGGCTAAAGACGCCGGAAAAAAGAGTGATCGAATTTGAGTGCAAAAGCCAAAGGGAATATGATCTTTGGACACAAGGTGTTTCCATGCTTCTTTCCATTGCTTCTGATAGGAGACACAAATGATGAATTAAAGGTATAGTCTTTGGGGTAAAGTCAGAAAGAAAATGGAAACTAATGGGGTAAATTTGTATTCTCTCTTTTTTTCTTGTGGTGTTTTTTTCATGCATGGAAGATAGAACGGGTCTAAAAAGTCTAATTTTAAACAAGTACGATCTTTTGTAGTAGGAGAATATGTAAATTACATTATATTCTCGTTTTGTAAGCTATGGTGATGGAAAAAATCGGAGGAACAAAGGGGGACAAATTTATGTTTCTGTTTATTCTTACTTATTTTTAGTATACAAAGACACTATGTTGTTAAGTCTACGAGCAACGAGGTCACGTTACATAGGTAAAGAGTTTACATTGTAACTTCATAAGAAACAAAAGCGACACAACAATACTTCGTTTACATAATAACTTCAAGCTCTTGAATTTCGACAGGAACACCCTCATGACACCCATCTTTGATCTTAACCAATTCAGAATCATCTCCTTCCAAATAAGCCATCAAAAACGCAACAACGATTCCACCAACAAATCTCCTCATTGGTTTTCTTGCTTCACCATTCTTACACAAACAATAAGAACCCTTCCCTCTAATCCCTTTTGTATCATCATCAAGCATGTCACAATGCCCATAATCCTTGGCGACAAGATGCCACGCTGGACCTTGACATTCTCGAAAGAACTCGCGGTGGTTCACTCCGGGAGGCGCGCACGGCGGGAAGAAAGGGTTCCGGGCGGTTTCGCCGAGCCCCGAACCGATCACAAGTACAGGCGTTTTGTCTAGGTCAAATGAGTTTGGTTCGTAGGTTAAAACCGGAGGAGGGGTTTGTTTCCCTTTGGCTGTTCCATCGACCGGGTCTATGCCGATCAATGTTGAGATCTTTAGATCCGAGGAGTATCCGCATTTCTTTAAGGCGACTGCGAACGCGGTTTTGCCGCCGCGGCTATGGCCGGAGAGTGTGAATTTTGATAGGTTTGGGGTTACTTGTGGTGGAAGAAAGTGGTTAAGTCCGACGGACAACCAGTCAATAGTCTCCGCCGTTGATTTGATCTCGTCCATAGTGTCCGGTCCGGCGATGCTATATAACTGTTAGATAATAAATATCACTTACATAAATTTATTTTACAATTACAACTCTATAAAAAGGCTAATTACATGTTCTTAAACTCCAAAAAATGATTCTTAGAAATTTCTAGTGAAATTATACTAATTAATTAGAATCAAAAACAGATTATCACATAAGTGGACCCATCGATTTGCATCTTTGTTGTTACTTTTCTTCTTGTCTAAGATTTTATAAGAGCCAAACAAACAAACAAAAGGTTTCAGAATTAAAACGCAGTGAAACGTGGCATCATGTACTCCACTTAGGTGGGTTATAGTTATAGATATATCTTTGTTAATTTGTTTTAATTTCTTCCAATTTTTAACAAGTCAATTTGGGTTATAGATTTTGGATTCAGCTTAGAATCTTTAAATACATGGACCTACTTATAGTAATACCTAAGTTTTTCATTAACTCATCTTGACTATTTATAGGTATTATCAATATGATTTTTTTTATTTTTTATTTTAATTTACTATCTAATTTATATGAATGAATATGTTATACTGTACAAACCGTAATCAAAATGTCAGTGGCTAATGAATTTGTTAATCAGTGTAAATTGAACCTGAGGAGCGATGAGGATGAACCCATGGGAAGACACATGCAACATAAGCTGCGAATAAAAGGAGTTGTAGAGAAGGTAACCATGGAGGAGCATCACCACCGGATATTCTCCTTCATCCACCGGTGTCGCCACCAACAGCTGCTTCGGCGGAGATGGAGAAGAAGACGGGGTTGATTTGCAGCAGCGAGGTGATGAGTTTATTGTTAAGAGATCTGTTTTGTATTTGCCATCCTCAAAGGCGTTTCTTGATGAAGAAGAGGACATTTTTTTCTTCTTCTCCTTCTCTGTTAATTTTTGTTTTATTCGACCTTTTTTCTTGTGGGTTCAAGAGAATGAAATGAGTTGGAGATATTATTATAGGTAGGAAACAAAACTAAAGACCTTTATGTGTGATTTTCTTTTTCCAGATTTGAAATGATTAAGAAGTATACAATACAATTCAGAAATAAGAACAGTAGTTGGAGATTTCAATTTTCTTGTTTTTCGACCAAAAGAATTAAATAAAATAAGGAAATTCAGAGATTTCATTTTGTTTGCAAGAAAGTAATTGTATTTTTAAATTAAGCTGGAAGAATTTGGTGCTAAATTTGTAGATAAAACATAATCTAAAAATTTTCATTTAAATTAAGCCGGAACAAGGAGTTCTCAATACTATTTTTAGTTAAAAAAATTTATATACTTTCTGCATATTATTGCTTTTAAATTTTAAAGTTGTATATAATTTTCTACATGTCTTATAAATTTTTATAGCATAATATTAAAACCTTCATATTTGATGTGTAATATGTTATTTCAAAAAACCATAAGCTTAATTATTTGTTATCTATCATAAATTTATCGATATGCGGCTTCAACCAGCCTTATCCAATGATCCAGAGATTCTAAACCCAACCAAAACAAGTGGAGTTCAATAAGTTTCTAAAAGACAATCAAACCATGAATGCATCAAGAATGTGTGTATAGATACAAAAAATTAGTAATCACTAAGACTAATAGCTAAAAACTCTGTTGTCATTAATTTTAATTTGTTTTGTATTAATTTGAGAAATTTTGATTTATCTTTATATTTTATAACAAAGAACCGCTAGCATAAAAGAACAAAATGAAAGCATAAACTAATCTAGTTTTTTCTCTCTCTCGTTTACCTTTTTTTTTCTCCATTTAAAGTCCGATCTTACACACCTTGCACTTGCATCATCCTCAAATATAATCAATGAAATTTCTAACTAGACATTCTAGGAGAGGTTAACCATAGTGGCGTGATTTCAAATACGGAACTACAAAATTTACATTTTCTTGTTTCGTTGGAGATGAAAAAAAGTTTTTCATTGGGACTTTAATGAATGCAAAAGAACAAAAGATATATTTTTTAATTGGTAACATGTCAATTTTACGTTTCTATATAGACAAGATCAGATGTTAGACAATAAGGTAACATTACAAAAGTATTCCAGTTAGTAGACTCATAATTTCGTCATCATGCTGCTTGAATTAGTATTTTCAAATCATTTTGATTTTGCTCACCGTCAAAACTCTTGGAAACTAAAAGATTAGTGGTGATTTGAATATACATAAGTGCAAGATCTTGAAAAATATGTATATCGAAGACTTTGAAATGCATCATATACTCTAATTGTACATCATATGTACAACGTAGAAATACTCTGATTAATTGTACATATGATATGCTAGTTTGTAAAGCTTTTGAAAACTAGTAGATCAGTGGTGATTTGAATATACATCATATATTTTTGAATCTCTCAAATTGTCGCATTACAAACAAACAAAAACTATAAGACACTTACTTCAAACATGTTAGGATATGATAAAGTATCTTAACATTTGTGGATAAATAGCCCATGCACTTTCACCAAGGACCTTGTCTTGTGCTATTGATGTCCACTATTCTTTTCCAAAGTTTTTTTTTTTTTTTTCTTTGTTTGGATATCCATAAACACATGACAAATAGAAATACATTCCATTATAAATGAGGGAGACATCAATCATCCTTTCATCGTTACAACACTTAACTACATCTACATGGTTTTTCCAAAGCAAAGCTAAACCCCCACTTCTACCAAGTAGAGGAATCGTTATTACAAAATCAAACTTAAGTAAAACACACAATTCCCTACTAATATCACACCGATGCATTGTTTCACACAGAAAAATCAAATCATGATTAATACTACGAGAAACATCTTTTAACCTACTTTTAGTTAGAAGTAGGTTAAAAGCCTATGCAATTCCATGATGCAATTTTCATGGTGACAGTGGAGGTACCGCCCCGCACCTCTGGAATATGAATAAATGGGTGAGCAAGAGCTGTGAGATTCATAACATGTTCTTTGCTCAAAACGAGTTCCTCGCACCATCACAAGACTCATGACCATTCTGTAATCATCATAGTAAATGGGAGAGAGGAGTGAATATCCATTGTTAAGATTTCTGTATGTATATAGTAACATTTTTAAAATTCTATAATAGATGATCCCATTTCAGCATACCGTTTTTAATAGCATTTACAAAAATTATGCTATCAAAATCTATTTTTCTTGTAGTGTGATTTGAAAAACATGAGAATCAATAGCAAAAACGGTATGCTGAAATAGCATTCCGTATTCATACAAAAAAACTATTTTTTCCCGATTTTTCATGAGAATCAATAGAAAAAAAAGTTAAGAGGTTAATAATGGCATTATCATTGAAAAAAAAAAGTTCTCAGAAAACGAAAATTGTAAATGCGACCAATTTTATTTTCTTAAGATATATATATAGTTTGAAATATGTTGCAATTTCGATGTCTGGAAAAAAATATGAACCTCAGAAAATATGGAATTACCTATTGTGGCTGGAAAATGGTTGTTCTACTAGAACTTTTGGAACCAGAATTAATAATAAAACAAAAATTATATAGAGGAAAGAAACATAAAGCGAATCAGCCTAGACCGTACATGTGGCTATCATCGACGAAGCAAAGGAGCTCTGATATATATTGACCTTCATCCAGTATGGTCTGATGACTCTCAAAATCGAAGCATTCACCACACCACGAAGATCAGTGATGGCTATCGAGGTTAGTTAATTCTTCTTCACTATATTCAAATGATTTCGATTTTGAGGCTTCTTGATCTTGATCCCGATACTTGATTTCCTCGTTGAAATCTAGGCGTTCTATAAGTTATGGATTCGTTTGATAGCGATTCTAGTTTCTCTTTTGGATTTTATTGGAGATGGTTTTCTGCGTTTCAATTTCCTTAGATTTGATTTTAGAAGAACATAGAATCGTGATGATTTACCGGTCGAATTTGGTATCTAGATACCAATTTTCGTTTTTGCTACTGAAATTGGGAGCTGAATGATTTATGAAAATTCCAACCTAAAAGCAAGCCAATCACGTAATACATGAGACACCCGAGTAGGACAAGTCCAGATGCAATCGATAGATAATCCATCATTTTTCCTCGTAGGAAAAGCCAATATGAACAACCAATATGAAGAAAAGCCAATATGAAGAAAAATATCCTCGTAGGAAAAGCCAATGTGAAGAACAACCAGCATCGCTAAGTCATATGCAATAGCTTTTAGGTTTTGGGTGGGATTGCTTACAAACGACATTGAAGCTTTGGCGGCATCAACTTCCTTTTTCAACGGGAAGAACACCAATATAGTAGTCAAAACAACCTCCATGACAGTCTGTATTACCATTACGGTCCTGTTCCAACCACAGTGATACAATCACCCGGTTGGTTGGCGCCTTATGGTGCAAGAAAACCACCAGTGCTGATATGAAGAGGCAAAATGTATCAAAGTTCACCACACTTGTACCTTTGAGATTACTGAATCGGTTCATTATATCGGTTGCTACTTCCGATGAGAATTTCTCTCCAAGTTTTTGAAGAACCGATATAATGAACCGAATCACCAATCTCAAAGGTACAAGTGTGGTGGACTTTGATACCTTTTGCCTTTTCACATCAGCACTGGTGGTTTTCTTGCATCATAAGGCGCCAACCAACCGGTGATTGTATCACTTGCGGGTTGGAACAAGAACGTAATGGTAATACAGACTGTCATTGAGGTTGTTTTGACTACTATATTGGTGTTCTTCCCTTTGAAAAAAAAAAGTTGATGCCGCTAGCAAAGCTTCAATGCCGTTTGTAAGCAATCCCATCAAAAACCTAAAAGCTATTGCATATGACTTAGCGATGCTGGGCAAGATTCTTCATATTGGTTTTTCCTTCGAGAGGACATTTTATGGAAAAGTGATGGATTGTCTATCGATTGCATCTGGACTTGTACTACTCGGGTGTCTCAAGTAATACGTGATTGGCTTGATTTTAGGTTGAGAATCTTTTGTGCTGCAAAATGAGAATTTTCCATGGAGATTTCCTGAAGGAAATTGTTGATGCAGGCATGGTTTATGGATGATAGCAATGAAGATCAGAGACTTCCTCATCATCGTAACCCAAAAGAGCTCGTCACGCTGGATTACTTGGCAGGTTTCTCCATTTCTCTCGCTTGAATCACTCTTACTCTGTATATATATATATATATATATATATGCAAAGATCTCTAAACAATAGTTGTGTTGTTTTCTTGCAGATCTGGGAGTGTTGTACTGGAAACTGAACTCTGAGAGCTACGAGAATGATTCCGAACTTAGAAAAATTCGAGAAGCAAGGGGTTACGATTACATGGTACGCAGAGATTAGCTCTCTCGTGGAACATTTGTGGATGTTTGGCTTTGAATTATTTTTGTTTCTTTGTAAGTAGGATCTGCTTGATTTGTGTCCTGAGAAAGTGAGCAACTACGAGGAGAAGCTGAAGAACTTTTTCACAGAACACATTCACCAGGACGAAGAGATTCGTTACTGCTTGGAGGGAAGTGGCTACTTTGATGTTAGGGACAAGGACGATCGTTGGATTCGAATCTGGATGAAACCGGGCGATCTCATTGTCCTTCCAGCCGGAATCTACCACCGGTTTACGCTCGATACCGGCAACTACATCAAGGTATTATAAAGCCAATCTCTCTCTACTAAAATTATTACATTTGATGTAAAAAGGTTTGATTGTTGGATTGTGAATGGTTTGGTTTTGTAGCTAATGAGGCTGTTTGTGGGAGAACCGGTTTGGACACCATATAACCGGCCACAGGAAGAGCATCCGGTTAGGAAGGAGTATATAAAGGGATTAACCCACAAGTTTGGAGAAAGCATTCAAGCTTAATAACGAGTTTAAATATATGCTGTTGTGGTGTGTTTGTGTGTATTGTTTACTCCTTATCGGTGAAAACAGTGATGTACTTTAATACTTATGCGATACATGCTTTCTAAATTGAGAATACGTGTCAATCATGAGGTAAGAACAGTTTGATTCTTCTCGTATTAAGGGATTAACCCACAAGGTTAGCGGCCGCAGTAAATTAATGATTAACCCGAGAGTATCGGGTAATACGACCAAGAGATCCGGGCTAAGCAGCTCACGGCGATTTCGTCTGGAAGTAAAGAATACGACGGAGGAGAAGGTGGTTGTGAGTCTGGTGACGAACTCTTCGTCTTTCTCTTTCTCTTCTTCTTCTCCGGTGGTTCTACTTGGAGGTTCATTGTGGCGGTGAACTTTTTCTTTGTGAAAACTAGATCAATCGAGAGTAATAATTTGGTATTTGTATAAACACTATATAAACAAGGTGAGAATTCTCACTCTTCTTTCCTTTTTTATTTTCTATATCCTTTTTTAATTCTTTCTCTTTCTATATCTTTAAAAATATATTAATAAAAAAATCCTACAGCATTAAAATCTAAAGTTATAACCAAAAAATCTACCGCCTAATTTTTATAGCAAAAAATCCAAAGCTATATGCCCACAACCAATCAAGTCCATATCATACGAAGATCTTTTTCGGTTTGATGATAACAAAATAACCCTCTAACTATATATCTAGTAGTTAGCTCATCCCACGACTTTTGTAATGGCATAGTACATTTTTTTTTTCTTCCAAAAACATAGAATTCATATTCACAAATCACTTACAATGTTAAACACTTTTTTTTGTTTCACTTACAGTGTTAAAAACCTTTCAAATAAAGCTTACTCATATGACAGATTGAAAAGGAGGAGAAAGATTTTATATTTCCCAACTATCACGACAACGTTGCTGCCGAATAAAGATTACGTTCTAAAGTGCCTACAAGCTTCTTTAACAACTGCGTCTGCTTCGCCAGTTCGAATGTGATCCATCTTCTCCTTCTCTTCTCTATTTCTTTTCTGTTTCTTTTCTTTTAATGTATTAAGATTAGTGGTTTCATCTAGTTGCTTTGTAAGCTCCATTATTTATTAGACGGATCCTTTATCAGAAAGAAAGAAAGAAAAAACATTCTTTTCAACAGTGGAAACGGCAAATTGTAACATATTGAACAGAAAACTTTTTTTTCAATTTTTCTCAAAACATAGAAACTCAACATCGCTCAAAATGTTTTAAACACAAGTTATGATTATTGGTGAAGATGGTTCCAAATATGTTAAACATGTGTAATTTTTTTTTTTTGTTAAAGAAAAAAAAAATGTTTAGTTAAACATGTGTAGTTACCTTGTGGGTACTCTAAACCCTTCAAATATTTAAAGTCCATTACCTCTTTTTTGTTAACAAATTTTGAAGGGTGAATATGGGTGGGTACCCCTTAATACAATACATGGGGGTATTCATAGCTAGTAGACATAAAAGTGGAATTTTTTAAAAATAAGTTTCAATAGATAAAATACATTAAAAAGCTACGTTATTTTTCAAGAATACATAGCCATTATTTATTTTTGGTAAAAATACATACAACAACGTTGTCATTTGTCAACCATAATGGAAGATAGATACAACTCGTATAAACACAGTCGATTTGGAGGATCATGATGTAAAAGACCATGAGCAACAAAGTTTATGAATCTCAGTTTTGTAAACCCAAATCTTAATAATCAGAATTTTTTTTTCCTACACTAACAAAAAAAAAAGAAATGGATGGATTTCATTTTGGATAATTTTTCTCGAAACTTTGAACCGGCCTACTTGTATTTGGTGTGATTGGGTCCGGTTTTCCCTCCATCCAATTCTATAGGTGTACTAGTTAAATTCTCATATGATCCTTTTTTTATTGCACGTATCTTTCAGAGGGTTCCACAAAAAATCCCATCGTTCTGACTTTTTCCAATAAACAAACAAACCACGAAACGTATCCATATGCATCAACCACTACATGTCTGGTGAGTTTTAATGCCAAAGCGAAGCTTACAAACATCAGAGCAATGCATAGTCAGTAGTCACTAACTCTGAGTACACTATTTAGCTAATACAATGATTGATTTATACATTAGTGTGTTCAAATTTTGTAAGAAAAAAATATTCTTAAACTCATTGAGGTTTTCACTTTGTAATGACGATCCAAGTTTAAGATACTTGGTTTTGTGTTAGAAATTAGTAGTTAGTTTAGCAAAAAAAAAAGAGTTTATTAGATACTTGGTTGTCATGATAACGTGTTTAGATTTTAGAGAGGAGACAAGAAAGCAAAGTAGCTTTTTCCAATGAATAGATGCCACTAGAATCTCTCATTTCCATTTCTGGCAAATCGTCTTTGTCCACATCAAAGTGAATTAATTATTAGACTTATCCAAAACTCTGAAAAGCTAAAAACAATTTCCCTTATATAGTTATATACTATAGGTATGCATTAAAAAAATCCCAAAAAATAACAGTAGACAGCATAAAAGCATCAGGCTTCAGCTACGAATTCATCACTTCTTCTTCTCATCTCCTTTGAGTCTTAAAGTTTCCGTTTTTGGTATGTTTTGACACAAACCCATCTCAAATCTCCCTTTAGTCTTTACCAATAAAAGAAGAAAGAGACCCAGTTTATTCATTCTCTAATCACACACGCTCACCTTGATTCTCTAATGGATTATAGCCTTCCAACTCCATTAGAGGGTCTTAAAGAAACAGGACCAACACCTTTCCTAACCAAAACCTACAACATAGTGGATGATTCAAGCACAAACAACATAGTTTCATGGAGTAGAGACAATAACAGCTTTATTGTCTGGGAACCCGAGACTTTTGCCCTAGTTTGCCTCCCCATATACTTTAAGCACAAGAATTTCTCCAGCTTTGTTAGACAGCTCAATACTTATGTATGTGTGTACTTCATTCTTCAATTTCATATCTATCAACTAGGCTCGGATTTTTTTAGTTACTTAACATTTCAAATCTTTTATTGATTTGTAGGGGTTCAAGAAGATTGACACAGAAAGATGGGAGTTTGCAAATGTGTATTTTCTGAGGGGACAAAGACATCTTCTTAAGAACATCAGGAGAAGAAAGACATCATCTCAAACGCAGTCGCTAGAAGGAGAGATCCATGGGATGAGAAGAGACAGAGTGGCTCTACTAACAGAACTGGTGAGACTCAGACGAAAACAGGAAAGCGTCAGGACATATCTTCGTTTGATGGAAGAGAAAGTGAAACTCACAGAGATGAAGCAAGAAATGATGATGGATTCCTTGCTGAAGAAGATTCAGAAACCAGGGTTTTTGCAGAGCTTAAGGAAACGTAAGCAGCAAGAAATCGAAAATCGAGAGCAGAGGCAAGAGATGATCTCAAGCCATCGGGTGAAAGCTGAGCCGGAAGAGTATGGTGATGATATTAGTGAACATTTTGGAGGGGTGTTTGGTTATGGCGATGAGCTTCACATAGCTTCAACGGAAGATCAAGGACAAAATGGGGTTGAAACGGAGATGGATAATGAAGGGATTTGGAATGTTTCGTGTTGAGTAAGCAGATGTGTGAATCTGGGATACATTTAATATAGCTTTTCGTAAATATAACTATTTTGTACAACTCGTTACACACAATACCAAATACAATACTATATTATGGTAAAAAAAAAAAAAAAAAAAAAAAACAATACTGCAAACCATCGGGCTGCATGTCTATCCCAATTAGCATTTTAAATTTTTGTTGTCTCGTCTAACAGAGTTGAACACTTGAATACATCGACAACGCTAATAATAACTACTAAACTATATATATTCCGATCAATATCCTAGGATTTTATGAGATTATATATATGTAATAATCACAATGGAATGGTAATACAATTATTTTGTTTTGTTGATTGAGGTCACATAGATCGATTATAATAATAGTAGGAATACACCTATATTTTGAATTTTCATCTATATAGAAAATTTATGAAAAAATGTATCTTGTATTGGGCATAAATTTCATGTTTTGGACAATACTGAATTCGTTTTCATATTTGGTGGAAAGATTTGTCAAATTGTAGACTACGTATCATTTTTGGGGATGGCATTTTAACGTCAAGTAGTTTGGGCCGCGACGTAAACTGGGCCTGGAAATTTATTAGCAGTATAGATTCAGCCACATTTCACTCCACTAATTTGTTCAAAGACGCTATCAACATTTTATTGTCTTCCAAGTTCCAACCATAAAATATTTGACACGAAAATATTTACATTTTCCCATATGACACGAAGCAAAAACATAGAGTGATTAATACCGTAAAAATACGCAAAATATATTTTAAATTTAATTCAGTTATACGTTTCGATCGAAACGCGTGACACATCCACCGTCGGATTGACTTTTCTTGAGGATTGTTGCCTTTTCTGCTCACCCATGTGGTTTTCCTCGATTTAATTTTATTTTAAAAAAAATAAATAATCTAAGAATATCGAGTGCACGTACTCGCCACGTCATTTTCGTGACTTTAATTTTGTATAATCTTATCCTCTTTCGTATTCGTACCATGAGATTCCCCACAAATCATAAAAAAAAAAGTAAACGTTACTAAAAATACTAATTCCGCTATCACAGGAAAATTTCACTAATTACGCGACAACTCTGTAATAAATAGTGCGTTATCTAATCAAATCCGTGGTATCAATTTTTGAAGATACGATAAGAAAATAGTATTATGGATATTACTCTGGATATGTTACTATTTCTGAACTTTTTAATTACAAAATTCGTAACATTGCTATCAATCACCGCAATTATCCTCACGATAACAGATAACACCTTCCAAAATCATTCGAAAACATTGCTGTAAATCGGGGTCAACACTATTTTTACTTATCTACATTGCAAAATAAAGTAAATAATAACTTTAAAAACCAGATAATTTTTCCATTTAAAGATATCACTATCTTATCTAATTTATTTGTCCTATCGCAAAAGGACACGTGTACACAAAAAGCAAGGGCAAATTCGTAAACGCAAATCTCCTCCGAGATTCCTTTATAGCCTTCCCGGTCTTTCTCTCTTTTTCCCTCACAAGTCTGTAACTTTTCTCTCATTTTCGTCGCTAATCTCCAGAAATCAAATCTCCGAGAAAATAAAAATGCTTGCTGTGTTCGAGAAGACGGTGGCGAATAGCCCTGAGGAACTACAGAGCCCGCATTCGACTGTGCCTGCTTACGCCTTGAAAGAGGGATATCTAGCGAGTCGTTTCAGCGGCAAACACCCCAACTCCGTCGTGCTTAATCTCGGATCGTCGGGATTGCTCGCTTACGCTCTCGATAACAATGATCCGCGTGTTCCTAGGTTAAATCGAGTTCTTTTCTCTCTTATTCTGTGCTTGATCTGGTGAATCTTCGTTTGTTTCCTTGTTTCTGATCAAAGTAAGCAGTAGATATTTTTGAAGTGATTATGCTGTTTATTTTGTGGATTTCAAGTTTTGATTTGGTTGTTCTATGGAATGTATTCGATTTGATTTGCGATTTTGGTATAACGCATTCGATTTACTTGGATTGACTTTTTTCCACACTTGCGATCTAGGACTTGTCTTTTTTAGTTTTACCTGTGATGATGATGATGATGATGATGATGAATTATTGGTAGAATCCATAACTAGAGATTCAAGACGAATTACAATGTCGGCTTGATTTTAATTTTACATGTGATTGTACTAGCTTGATGATGATGATAATAATGAACTATTAGTAGAATCCAGAACTTGGAGATGATTGACAATGGATCTTGCTGTTATTTACCATGAAAGAAGAGATAAACACTAGATTTAAGTGATTGTGGCTATTGCTTTTTGTAATTTATGGGGTTTCTTTGTCAAATTTGACAGATTATTTGCGGTGGTGGATGACATCTTCTGCATCTTCCAAGGACACATTGAGAACCTTCCGTTCCTGAGACAGCAGTATGGGCTGAGCAAGATCACGAACGAGGCCATCATGGTGATTGAGGCTTACAGGACTCTACGTGATCGTGGTCCTTACCCTGTCGACAAAGTTGTCAGAGATTTCCATGGAAAGTATTCCTTCATCCTCTTCGATGGCACCAACAAAACCGTCTTCGCTGCTTCTGTAAGTCCTCAAGAACCGTACTTTTCCTTTGATATACATTCGTGATCTCGATGTTTTAAGAGATATTGATATGAATGTTTGTTGATGTTGCAGGACGCAGATGGAAGTGTGCCGTTCTTCTGGGGAAACGATGCTGAAGGACACCTTGTTCTCTCCGATGACGTGGAAATGCTGAAGAAAGGTTGCTCCAAGTCTTACAGTCCTTTCCCTAAAGGTACCAACTTTAGTCCAAATGTGTTACTCTTTAAGAGAAGCTATAATGATTTGATTTTGTGGATTGATGGTTGAATGGTTTGGTGTTTAAAGGTTGCTTCTTTACATCATCGGGAGGATTGAGGAGCTTCGAGCACCCGAAGAACGAGCTGAAGCCAGTGCCGAGGGTGGATAGCTCAGGAGACGTGTGTGGTGCGACCTTTAAGGTTGATGCTGAGGCTAAGAGAGAGACTACCAGAATGCCTAGAGTCGACAGCTCCCAGAACTGGGCCGGTCATATCTAAACCGGAAATGGTTAACAAGCTCGGCATCATCCTCTTGTCCCTCTCTCTCTATCTTTCTCTATTTCATTTACATGTTTTGAGTTACATTGAAGACAGTGTTTCACACCACAATGTTCTCTCTGTTGCGTTTATGTACATGTTAAATGGTGTGGGATTTGGATGGATGTCGAAACACAAGACGAGACTTTGGTTTAATATATTGAGAATTTTTCAATATTGGTTGTTTCTCTGTTTGCGTTTCTCGAAGCCATAAATAAAATAGTTTTTGTTTCACTAATCAATTGTTTATGTTTTGGAGCATTCGAATTCAAACTGAGTTTTTTGAGTTGTGGAAAATATATTATTCACACCATTTTATCTGCATAGAACTCAATTTGGGTTTCGGAATTGAGTTAATTTGGTTTATCTTGATCAAGTACTTCGAAATCTATCATAATTACCCAATAGACCTTTGTGAAATGCAGTCACACACTTTACACAATTAAGCGATGATGTGAATGCCTTATCTAACCATTGAAAGCCCATATTTGATCAGGTCCACGTTAAAGGCCACTAAAATGGTTTTACACTTTTAAACATGCATAAGGCTAGTAGTGTGCATAACTTTATTGAGCTTATCGACACTTGAATCTTCTCGATCGAATCTTATTGCATAACTCATATTATATTATAATGAATCTGACCACTAGAAACCATTGTTTTCTAACTATTTTTTCGTACTATATATTTTCTTTAGTTCACCAATTAAAGTTGGAGATATATACGTTACATGCATCACCCATGAATGTATATGCATGTTTTATGTGTTAATGTGTGTCTCATTGAAAAAGACAGATGGTATCTATATAAATAATATAACTTTTGTAATCTTATATATGTCAATATGTCATGGACGATAGATGTTACAAATAATTATAAAAAAAAAAAAAAAAAAAATTGTTAAAGATTACAAAAGAATAATGCTAGTGTTTGTCAGCAAGTTAGGCAAGAGAGCAAAATGCTGGACAGGTTAGTTTCACATTAATCCACATTGAACGTATTAATAATTCGTATATATTTGCGTAACAATGTTAAAACAAAGATGTAAAAGTAGGGAAGAGATATGTAACTAAATGATTTATTTTTTTTGTTAAAGAACTAAATGATTTATTCATCTAGGTGTTACGAAATACTCTTTAAGATACAAAGAGAAGTAAAACAACGTTTCGATCTCCGCACTCACACAAAAAACGCCTAACAAACTGCAAGAATTTGTATAGACGAATTGTAAAGAATCTCTCAAAAACGTTGGTAAGAAATGAAAAACCATGTATGTTTTGCGCATCCCCTGTGTCATATTTATAAAGGTGTCAATGGTTAATTATGAACTTTTTCAAAGTACTTTCGTATAACGAATTTAATGAATCTCACATTTTCTTATCATCAATCGGTTTCTTCAGTGAGCGAATAATTACCTACCGAGATTTTCCAATTGCTAAGGTAACATAAATCGATCTAAATACTATGAACGGAGACAACTTCTTAGGAGGTTTTTATCTAGCTAGTACTTACTTTTCCTTGATCACTCAAAGAGAAATGACTATCGCTCTAATTAATTTTATGTCATAAAATATGTTTGGTGCATTAATCATAATAACCCCGACAAAGGTATGTACCTAAACTATGTGCTGAGTGAAAAGTGAAAACAAAAGCATCAATTAGTTGATTGAATAATGACATAGATAATACTTAATTATATTAAAGCAATAGTTCATATTCGAATATACAATTATATTTCACTTAGTTGTCCATATACGATATATGATATATCACAAGTCACAATCCTTACTGTAACTTAGTTATATTAGATGCCATCAGTTTGATGCAACAAATCTCGTTATTTATTGATTGTTTATTTGTTAAGGTGAAAACTCCGTCATTCTGATTTGCTTATCTTTGTTGTCTCAAAATCTCATCGACTTGTTTTGCCGATGAACTAACTATACACTGTAAATGTATAATACAGTTATTCGAATATGGTATGATATTTTAAATGTTAGAATTTGGATTTCATATCTAACACTATAGTTTATGTTAGATAGACGTTATTACTTCAGTTGTAGTCGAATTAATAAAGGCAGTTATTGCAATTAATTATTTGTTGGCTCATCGTTCTGTATACTAGTATCAAATTTGTTAACTCTAATTTAGTTTTTTTTTTTCTCAATCTCACTCATGTAGCTAACTCAAATAGCCTTTGAGTGACCTACATGGATACCCTAATATTCAATATATGTATACTTATGATTCTTTTATTGGAAATATATGATAATTAAGAAAGTCTATTTAAATCAGCTTCTTCATCTTTCCCTTCTCATTATCGCTCAGTCTCTCTAGTTTGTATAGTATAACTAATTCCCCGCATATATGGTATCATGTGCAGAGCTGTCAGCTGTGCACCAGCATCTGATGAAGCTGCCAGCATGATCTAAACTTCTCTCTATATATATCTGATCAGCAGTGAAGATCAGATCATGTGGCAGTTTCACCCGTTGATGGCTGCATCAATAAAACCCTAATCCTAATCCCTTTCGGCCACATATATATAAACCCTAGATTCTACTAACTTGATCAAATCTCCAATCCAAAATGTCGCGCTATCAAGAAAGTGGATCTTGAATCAAGAAAGTCTCTCAATATTTCTACATGGTCCCTTAAATTGTAAGTCATCACTCATCAGCATAATCTATTTTATGAGTTTATGTATTTAATTTATGTGTGTGTGTGTGTGTGAAATATTAAGATTACTAATCGCTATTAGCTATTAGGATCTAATTAACCTGAGAACATTTTAGTTAAGGTTCAGACATCAGATTAATCAAAACGAAGCATCGACCATTTATTTGTATCTTGGTGAATAATGAACAAATCATTAATCGATTTATTGATTTATCGTACATTTGGGTAAAAAACAAAAGATATTTACTATAAAAAAAAGGTTGACGAAACTATCTTTCCATTTATCTTTTATGAGATGCCGGGTTGTTAAAATTTATATTGATCTTGTGGCTAGAATATGAATTCGGTATCCATATTCAGAATTGTAAATGACTGTGGTGCGAACATCTTTAGATAATACTTTGTTAGGAAATTTAAGGGTACTTAAGTGTGTATTTTCGTATATAGACAAGCGTACTTGTGTAAACTATGTACATGTTTATATCTTGGAGTATGTTTATACATGTTTGTAACTATGAAAAATTAGGTTTTTTTTAAAAAAAAGCCGACATAAGTGTTATTGTATGTCTATCTTGTGGGTCTCGATGCTGCTAGTTAAGCTTTTTTATTTTGTGGGTTTCAAGACAGTTATTGCAGATCCAAACCCCAAACCCCGACATAACTGTCTCTGCTTTTGTCCAGTTCACATTTTTAGAATTCGGAACGGTCCACTTTATATTCATTTTCGTTGATGCGACTCAAAAGTGTGTTGGATAAGACTGAACCTCGGAAATTTAATTGTCACAAATTACTTCTTGGGTGTTGTATTTTAATTGTGTTTGAACTTGGTGTAAACTATAATTAATTTGAATAAAATTGATCCCAGTACTAATTAACAATAATAATTGAGATGTCGGGCCTGGTCCAAGACATGGAACAAAATATACAGGACCCTTTTTTTTTTGGAACAACATACAGGACCCTTAAATCAAGAGATTTGTGAATTCTTTTTAATTTTTGGATCAGCATCTAATATCAAGATTGTCATAGCCCTCGAGTAATTTCAGAAGTCTGTTAATGGATAATATCATGCTAGGAAAATTGTTTGTAGACATAGCTGGAGTGTATGACCCTGTTCGGAGAACAGTCTGCTGCGACAGATTAAAAAGACGGTGATGGCAGCCAACAATAAAGAAAAACGATGCACTTTTTATTTCATTTAAGGTGCTTTGTGCATATGACACTTTTTTTTACCGTTTAATTTTTTTTAATCCCATCATACCCTGTAAATAGAATGTATAAGTAGTTAGGAAACAAGATCTAGTTATAGCAACGATTTAGTGATTATACTGTTGGTTATACACTTGTATTATACTAAGTGGACATTGATGTTAATGCTTACTTTGGTTCGGTGCACATCATACCGATGTTTACCTTTGGTTTTATTTTATTTATTTTTAAATGAAATTTCAAATTTATTGATCACTCTAAAAAAGAATGTAAATTTACATATTGGAAAGAAATCAAAGAATTGTGCCAATAGAATAGAGATGTTAACGAGAGCCAAACCAACGTTGCATGAGTCCTTCTAAGCGATGTGGCGGTGTCTGGAAACTCATTCTAAGTAAAATGTGATCCAAATGTTGGAAAGTACGTGGCGTGAGGGCATGAATTGTGTCTGCCCAATCTGGCGTTGTCGCAGTTCCAAGGAGACCATCACTTAAGACCGACCAGATTGAATAGGTATATGGGCAGGAACAGGTGATCCCTTGTTTCATCTCTCTCACCACAAAACACACAACTCTGCTCGTGTCCCCGTTCTCCCATCCGTCTCCCATAGCAAGGCCGGTTCCTGATAGCAAGCCAGTAAGCCACACTATGAAAGAGTAACGAGGAACTTCCTGTTTACCTTTGGTTACAATCAAAATATGTTTTGTTTTATAACATATTTTAATTAGTAAACAACTTAGAAATTAAGATTGACATACAACTATCGCTCATTTATATTTTGTTTTTTCAAAAGTTTTTACGAATTTTAAATGATCTCATGAGTTGATGACATAAACCAGACCATAAGTTTTGTTAAATAGCGAATACGGAGCTCCTCGCTCCCGCATCAATATCACAAAATATAATTGTAGAAAAGTGCATTTATATAAACTCCTAGAATTGTATGAATCATTATTCATTAACAAAAGTTAATCATAACTAAAATCTTTATAGTCAGATATTCAAAATATTAGTATCATACCCAAATTTATACAAATTGAAATACTGTAACGATTTAGTAAGGATATTGTTGATTATACTTTAGTTTGGTGCACACCATTTTGATGATTACCTTTAAGAAACTATTTGAATATGGTCACTACCAATATATGTTTTGTTGTACAACATATTGTAGTAAACACAAACATAATATTGACATACATCTTTTTGATTGTATACTCTTCTTTTCTAAAAGTTGTTATGAACTAGATATCATCTCATGCATCATGGCGTTGAATTCCATGATTCTAACAAAACAGATGTGGAGTAACACGATTGCTCGCTCCCGCATCTGTATCGACAAATGTTTACAAGAAGTTTGTTGAATCAAAATTTTAGTTTCATACTCAAATTTCTGCAAATTGAAATATGGCAACAATTTAGTTATGATATTGGTTGCCATACATTAGAATTACTTGAAACACAATGATGTTAATAATAAATAAATTAAGATTGACATAAGTCTATCGGTTATTAATTATAGTTTCAAAAGTTGGTAACCGAATGACTTTTAAATGATCTCATGGATCCTTGCTCTCGCAAGTATCACATCATCAATCAAATTATAGAAAAATGTATGAATATAAACTTGCAGACTAACATGAATTATTACTAATGAATAAGAAATAAACAAAACTCAAATCTTTATAGCCAAATATTCACAAAAGTTTGCAATAATTCAAAATATTAGTTTCTGCAACTTGAAATATGGTATTGGTTTATATTATTGACTCTACACTCGTATTACTGAATTGACATTTATGTCAATACATTTCATACCGATTTAAAAAACAAAAAGTCAATTTTCTAATCTCATATTATGATCGGAAGAAGACTGCCACATTTCAATTCGAGGGCAACCAAAAACTGAAAGGTAAAATCGAATTAGCAAATCCATTGTTGTTACTTATGTTTCCTAATTTTGTATAGTTCAATCGGATTCAACAAAGATCAATAGTGTGGAGAAATTTTGAATGTTGATTGTTTTATGAACATTGTTGATTAAATTTTTTATATGTTGATTGAAAATTTTGTCAGGGAAATAGTGGAATTTGATGATAGTGGAGGGGTTGAAGGAGATGATTGTGAAATGTTTGACTAAGATTTTTACATAGTTTATCAAGATTCTAAAGTTTAATTTGTGTACATGACAATTTGCTAATATCAAATACTTAAAGAATTCAATGATCATTCTCTAGTTATATACTCCCTATGTTTCAGAATGTAAGATGTTTTAGTTTTTTTTCTTATTTCATAATATAAGATGTTTTAGATTTGTTTAAGGTACTTTTTTCAATTAATGCTAACAAATTGGAAACTTCAAGAACTATTTATTAAAAGTAATTCAATTCTTGAATTTTTATTGGTTAATACTTATTAAAAGTGATTTATGTGAGAGAGAGAAAATGCATTAATTATTGAACAATAAATTTTTCTTAATTTGTGTGAAATTTCTAAAACATCCTACATTCTGAAACAGAGAGAGTAGTACTCCATCTCTTTCACAATATAGGGGGTTTAAGACCTTTTTCTTTGTTTCATAATATTAGGTGTTTTCAACTTTTTGTTGCTTTTTACTTTATTAATTGTGCATATTGTTTTTTTATTGGTTGAATTGTATTGAAATTAATGATAAAATATGCTTTATTTTGAAAACTTAAAAAATTAAATGAGTTCTTAATTCTTGTGTCTAACCCTAAAATCCCTTCTAATATAAAACAGAGGGAATATTAATTTTTATTTAAAGATTCAAAAGTTTTTTGATAAACAATCATCAAATTAGTATTTGGATAACTGAAGCACATAACCATCTCTGTTCATGCATGAATTCACCGTTACATCTCATTACTGAGCACAATCAAACCATGCTTGCCGTTTTTCCCTACACTCATCGCTGTTTTTCATCCACCGAAACTATAACCATAAATAAATAAACCACTTCCTCTATACATCATTTGATCTCTTCCGCGAATATCACATCGAAGATGTGTTGCACTGCACAAGAGATACCCATAGACACGCTAAAATCAAATACATAACACAAACAAAACAATCGAAGAAGAATCTACGTTTTTATGTCAATCTCTTTACCTTCTTCTTTCGGGATATTCGGCTCATCAACCACGAGGCATTGTAGCGCGCTTAGATCACCAGGACTATTATACAAACAGTAAACAAGAACATAAAGAAGAGTTTCAAACTTGCCAAAGTATGAACACAGGCAATATAGTACTCTCACTCTCATTACCTTGGTTTCAGGATAAGACATGAAAGTGCGGAAAAAATTGAAGCTTTAAGATGGTATCTGCAGGATTGATAAACCACAAGAAAATTAAAAAAATCTGATGATTTGTGTGACTCAATAACTAAGCAGATTCTGTTTGCTCACTCTGATTGATGCATTTCATAAAGAAGAGAGAGTCCTTCCAAGCAATCTGCAATGCAAGGTTTTACTCCAATCCGTTCGCTTACTCGCACCTTGCTCTGTTCCTTTTTGAGCAACTGCGACGAACCGTCTCGGTGTAGCTTCTCAAATGTCGAAACACATCGCCGGAATTCCTCTCTTCCATCATAACCACCCATACAGTTTACATGTCAACAATCTTTGTGCTTACTACTTCAAGAATCCTAAACTCTCATGTAAGCAACATTCTAACAAAAATATATACTTACAAAATGTTTTTCATCGAAAGAAGAAGAGACTCCAGATGATCCATTTGTTTCTGCACAACCGCGTCTTCAATCCCTTTCACGCATCTCAAAGCTCCATACCTCACAGGATTTTGCATATCCTACTCTCAAAACACACAAAAGATATCACACATGCAGTTTTTATAAATTTTGAACAACAAACGCAATAACTCTCAGCTACCTGTAATCTCTGGATGATAGCAGAAGCGTTTCCGAAGAGCGAAACCCATCGATCTTGAAGCGCTTCCCACATTTCCATCTCCTCCTTCCCTTTTCTCAACTTCTGCTGCCATTTCCGAATCACTGCCTCCATTCAAATGCTTATTGTAATCTTCCAGCAGCAACCTAAAAAAGGAACAAGTATGCTTTCGAGCTTAAGCCACCACCAAAAGGGTAAGAACGCAAACTGTATATAACTTTGAAAGTTGTTCTCTATTACAGTTTATTAGAGTTAAAGTTGGAGAAGATGTGATCATGTCGGTGAAGTTTTCACATTTACAACAGAGCATCAATATCAAAAGTGCCACCCGTTTCGTCGCCAGAATCTGCGAGCATTTTCTTTAACACGAGCCTCTTTGATCTTCCGAAACAGCTTATACGCCAACTCTGTTTTATCCGACGCCATGAGTTTATTGCTAATCCTACTATAAACAAGGCGGTTTGGGCAAAACCCTTTACGCATGGCTTCTTCCATCACAAGCACAGCATTCTCCAGATGCCCAATGTTACAGAGCCCATCAACGATATACTCATAGACTTCCACATCGGAAAGATATCCACACTCCTGCATTTCGTCCCACACGTTCAACAGTGTCCCACATTTCCCAAATCCCGATAGCCGCTTGAGCAACAACTTATACGCACTTTCAGATATCATACACCCAACTTTCCTCGCTTTCTGATAGATAACCATTGCAGCGTGTGGCGGACCGTAGCTGCAAAGCGGCTTGAGGAAAGAGGTAACAAGCCCTGTGGTGGGAACAATCCCTCTTGACAACATCTCTTCATACATCTCAAGCGCATCAGCAACCTTACGGCCTTTAATAAGCCCAGAGACAAGCTTGGAATAAGTCTCCAACTCCGGTTCACATCCTTCATCAATCATCCTTCTGTAACACCTCACAGACTCATCAAAATCTCGAGCAAACATGAAATTACAGATCATTGCGTTGTACACATTAGCGTCCGGAACACAACCCTTTTGCTTCATACTATCAAAGATCTCAACGGAGTCATTAACACGACCGGCTCTTCCCAACCCTTCGATAAGGTAGCTGAAAGACAAACAGTTGGCACCAAACCCACTCTCAACCATCTCCTTCAAAACCTTTTCCATTTCCTCAACCTCACCGAGCTTCGACCATCCACTAATCATAACATTGTAAGTGCAACTATCAAAAGCTATCTTCCCTTTCTTCGCATTAAACACCGAGCTCGCAGCAGTAACATGAGAACGCTCGCAGAGACACCGCAACAGCGCATTGAAAGACTCGGTGCTACTACATTTCACACCAAAACCTTCGCTTTCCTCGAACAGTTCTATCGCTCTACGCACGTAATGAGCTCTAGCGAAACTATCCACAGCAATGGTTAAGCACTGCAGATCAGGAGTAACACCTTCACACGCCATTTCTCGCAAAACATCAATCATGAAAGAGAAGAACTTTCTTCTTCCTAACGCTATTAAAATCACTTTATAGCTATCAACATCTTTACACACACCAGGCTCGCGAATCGCCCAATTGAAGAATGTAACCATTGCTTCACCACTTAAATTCCCTCTATCCACAACATCAGCAACAATGTCGATACTCAAATCGATACCGAGACTACTCAAAGCCTTACGTATTGCAGATTTCCCTTTCAGTTTCTGAAGAAACACACCTCTGAGTTTCTCTTCCGGCGACAGAAACGAATCAACGGCTATTTGATTCATCGAAATGCTCTCGTCTTTGGTTACTGAGAGTTTAGATGAAATCGGAAGCAGTGATGATAGTTCAGCGAGGACATAACTCTCATCCACAGCACCATGATTCGATGATGATGATGATGATTCGTACTGTGCTAAGTAAGCTGACGGAAGATCCTTTGACGCTGTGCAAACTGTACGATTGCATACGGCACTTGAAATTAGGGTTCGTACATCAACGCGATGAGCGCGACGAAACGATTCCATGGCTAATCTCCTAGACATAATCTCTCTCGATTCGAAATCTTAACAGTTTGCGATTAGAGCGGGTTTATGAATCTCTAAACTTAATCACTCCTAAGAAAAAACTCACTAGAAAGATAAAGATATGTAGTAAATGATTAGAGAAAACTTACGAGGAAGATTGAAGAAGCTTCCTTAGGAAGAATCAACGGAGGAGGAGGAGATGAAGAAGACGAAGGGAGTGGGAATCGGAATTCTCTCACATAGAAATCTCTCATGTTTCGACCCGGTTTAGTTAGGGTTAATGGTATAATTTACAATTAGGACTTCGGTTTACGCTTTATGGTTCAATAGATAACCATGGGAAAATCCATATACCAAAATGATTGGTTTAGAATTCCGGTAGCAAGAGAGTACAGCAGATACAAACAAACATCATGCATCTGCTTCAATTTTTCATTGAAATTCTTGGGACATTTCACATTTACAAAGTAACTAGTTCAAAATGATGTATGTGTATATACAAATTATAATTAAATATATCATAAATAGTACTAAGTTCAAAATGATGTAATTTGTTCATTGATAATTTCAGTTTTGTAGTTTTTTTTAGTTTCCAACTTTCCATCGACTTCAAAAAGTCTGTTCGATTCAAATTGACTTGGTCACTAATCGTGCTATAATTATCTTGTTGAGGAAACCTTAAACTATGTGAGAAAGTCTGAAATTTAAATAGACCAAACACCTCTTCCAATTTTGAAAATTTGAGTGAGATTAAAATAGAGTAACTATCTAAGTATTAGTTTCTAATTTTACATTTTATGTTGAATTTTGCAGAAAACCTACAGTCTCACTAATTCAAGGATTTCTAAATATCACACTATGCATGTAGTAAACATTATGGATGCGTGCGGAAGAAAAAAAATGGTTTTAAGTTTACCTGGAACAATTGACAATACAAAAATTGGGGTAAAAGAATACTTGAAAATTTTAGCAACATTATGACTCCATGATGATGTGTCTCACATCTGATAAACATTAGGCGTTTATTGAACATCCATTTCCACTCATCATCAGAGACCGGAATAAATTGAATGGCAAACATGATATTTCAGTTCAGTCTCGTTTTTTGTGCAAATTATGTTCGGTTTTGAGTTTAAAACCTGAACTGTAAATCGCAATCATATTTTAAAGTTGCTAATTGGTTTATGGGTCGGTTCAAATAGAGTGTCCAAACTAAGTAAAAAAGACGAAAAAATGTGAATAAACGAATTTAGATGGAGACAAATTACAAATGGACAAAAAGTTGTTAAAATCTCAATCTCATTTTTAGGATAGCATAGTGTAATCATTTAAGACTATGAAATGTTAGTCTTGGAGTATATCACATCACTTCTGAACTCTGGCGGAAATTTTCATTTTTGTGATTCTCAAAGGTCAGTTTTGGAGTTATTTTTTGCTGAAAAGTTTGCATCTCAGTCTCATTATTAGGACACTCTTTTACTATCTTTCGTGAGAGAAGCATAATGTAATGTTTTAAGTCTATGAATAAATGCTAGTCTTAAATTATAAGTTTTGGAGATCCTTTAATAAAATTATAAGTCAATTTAACGGCTGAAATTATCATTTTCGTGATTTCTAAGGCAAGTTTTGAAGTTTTTTTTGTTGAAAATTATAATTTACATTCGCTAAAGACTTAACTTTGTTAATTCATGTAAATCTCGAGTTACTAAAAAAATTAAAGCTGTGAACAGAGTGCTCCTTTACACTAATTAGTCTTTGAAGATCTTAAGAAAAGCTTACAACGTTGCAACAATGGAGAAACCGGCGTAAAACACCGTAGAACCGTAGGCACACAGCCATTGCATCAACGTTATCATCGACCCCTGAGCTAAAACACAACTCTAGATAAAAACCCTAAACCCTTAGTCCCTAAATCCAAACCAACATATCTACAAACATTGGCAAATCTAAGGCCGGAAACTACTTATTAGAAACTTCTTCATCAAGTGATGTGGGACCTCAGCTTTAGCAGTAGAACATCACTCTCTTCACATTCTCCTTCAAAGCCGGTAAAGGCTTCACACCGCCACCACCACCACCGGAATCTCCTACAGTCGTTGCTTTCGCGCCCTTTTTCCCCGGTGAACCGTTATCTTGCATGATCTCCGGTTCCATGTAGAAACGTGCTCTAAATGCTGCAAGATGTGCATAATACGCCGGAGGAACTACACACAACAGCAAAACAACAACATATGACTTCGCAAAACTCTTTTGACCTAAGGATTTGGAGAAGAAGAAATGTTGTTTATTTTACCTATAGAGACCGATCTGGTGCATCGCGCATAAGTATAACAGAGGTTATTAGTCAGAGACTGAATACCATCCGCTGTGAAGTTGTTCTCGTCCCAAAGCACATGGTAATGAGCAGGCCTGCTTGTTCCCTAAATCATACAAATAACACACAAAAAGTTTCGTCACCTTCGTTTAGTTAAGCAAAAATGGTGTATTTTAGGTAGTCGTTTCGTTACCTGTATACCGGCGTGGCTACAAAGATAGAAGTCGAATTCGGTTGGATGACATATTTTGGTGTCAACTACAGTACCTGAAGGAAGAAATAAAGGCGACAAAGAAACAGTTAGTTAAGTTATTTCTGTTATGATCTTCTTCTTGAAAACGTTATCAAGAACTGACCGGGTAAGATATTTCCGCTGCGGTCAGTACTGCTTTTGTCTCGGTGGTTATTAGCAAACAAACGAGTGTGGTGCCTCTTCTGCACAACGATGAATGTCACCGGTGGCTGATAATTCGGCTCAAGCGACGCACAAGCCTACAAGACACACAAGCCCATAAACGTTCTGCTGCAAACACATACATGATTCAGAGGGAAAGAAACAGGTTATTTACCTTACGGATTGCATCCAACTCGTAGAGTAAAACTTGATAGAACTGTCCTTCACTTACTCCATCACTGCGAGAACAAAATACCGATAAGAAACAGACTACAGTTTTCGATATGCATCCATTTTTTACTGAAATGAGTAAAAGAGAAACCGACCGGTAAAAGATGATTCGAAGCGGTTTCTGCCCTGTTGCTTTCCTGAATGAGATCAGAAGGTCCCTGCAAAAGAGCAAACTTGTGAATCATCGGTTAAATTTAAACCGCTGAAACTGAGATATGGCGATTTATTATTACCTGATCATACCGCCACTAACGGTGCCTCGTACAGGATCTTGCCATGTTTTATACAAATCTTGTATAAGTTCTTGCCTATGAGCTTGAGCACAAACCAAACCAGCATATTTTGTGACTTCAGGCCAGTCTTGAGAAGCAACAACCTGACAAAAACACATTTTCTCATAAATTTTATGTTCTCCTACTTGACAAAAGTGTATAAGTTGTTGTATAATCTTACAGCAGCGATTGAAGGGCTTGACTCTTCTCCATTCTCAGGGTGAGTCACGTCTGCGCCGAATATAATCGTCGGTATATCGCTAACCAGCGGGATTCTACAGCTTATGGCGTCTAACAGAACTGTGTTCCTTCCTCCCATCTGAAAAAAAAACAACATAGAAAGATCTTAGATTTCATAATGCAAGAACAATCAGAATACGTTTCAAACCTCAGTGGTGAGAGAAAAGTATGCACCTTGACATTGATTTTAAGAGATACATTTGCAAGATACTGTTTGCTGATCTTGAACACATGTTTTGTTAGACAACATTGAGATATCAAACCAAGCTCGGTTTCGCAGATTCTCTTTAGATCCCCTGAGATTAACAAGAAGCATTTCAAGTTCATACTCAGAAAGACAAAAAGACTTGTGGATGTTAGATATGATGATGATACCATACCGTAAAGTGAGCCGTTGTTGTCAGGTAAGATCACCAACAGAAGCTCTAACTCTTTGCCTTTGGTTTTGTTCATTGCAGTGTGATAAACATGCTTTAGAGCTTTCTCTACTTGATCAGGCCTCGCGCTGTATATCGGGATCACTGGCTCTGGATTAAACTCCTACAACAACAAACAAACCAAGACAAGCTTTGTGATAGGAAACAAGAACCTTCAAAAAATGCAGCAAGAAAGTAGAGACAAAATATTATTTACCATGCCTGAGACTTCACACATCTGACCAAGCTCGTTACAAAATCCACGAGCGACATTCTCTTGAACACTACGTGAGAAGTTAACACAAGCCCATCTGCTCACTGTCATGCCATTGATCATCTTCTTGTTCATCATATTCCATTGACCAACTTGTGGAAGGCAATCTTTTTCTTTCCCGTTCTCGTGATACTTAAGCTGTAGTCAAGCAAAGCAAAGAGAGAGATGAGTGAGCATAGCATAACAGTGTCATAGTTTGAGAATATTCAGATACTTTGTTGAGTGGTTTTTACCCATGGAGCTGGAAGAATCCGAGCCTCAACAGAAGCTAACTTCTCGCTTATGTTCATACCAAACTCCTTAGCATATGGATCTTGATCATAAGCATTGTGTTGGACCGTCTTCAAGATATCATTTTCTCTGTCTCTTGGCCTCTGGCATGTAACTTTCAAGAGAGCAGTAATCTGCTTCTCGTTCAATCTCTTTGTGTACCGTTGTCCCTCCACAATCTTGCATGCCTGCATTTACAAATCGAGTCAGCCAAAATTTTCGCTGTATTCAAACGAAAGAAAAACTACGGTTTATGGTTTTACCTCCATTGGCAAATAGCTTGCCTTCTTCTGGTTTCCTACTTGAAGACAAGGCAAATGAGTGTGCTGGATCGTGAATCCATACATCTCTTGAAAATACTCAATAACCGACTTCATTGTAGAGTTCTCATCGACCGGAAACCTAAGAAATGCAAACCGGATAAAACTTGATTAATCTCAATGAAGTTAACCTAAGTGATGAGAGAGTATAAAATGCTCACATAAGCTCTCTTGTTGGTTGAGTTGTTAAACCGGCAACACGATATTTCCTTCTCACGTTTGCTCTATGAGTAACCTCTACTTTCACTCCCCTGAGACCCTTCTTAATCTGTATACAATTCACAAATGAGAAAACAAATCTTGAGAGCAACATTCAAGTACTCAAGACAAGAGTTAACAATATGATGAAGATTTTCTCTACCTTAACCCGATCGGAATCGGACAATGGCTTCGACAAGACATCTTTCCCAAGAAGTTGTGCTACAAACTCTATCACCGGAAGAGGCTCTATAAACGCAGCTGAAGCCATATCTACAAAGTCAAGAAAACACTTTGATTATAGTTATGACCAAGAGTGTGTGTACCAAACAAATCACTTCTTTTAAGTAAGTTTTGTTTACCTATATTAAGAGATAAACCCATCTGAGTAGGTCTAATGCTCTGGTAAAACCCACACCAAGACTCTAACCCTTCACCGAGTCGCTGCGGTGTTTTGACATCAGGCGAGAAGAAAGATCGTCCAACGGGACAAAACCGCTTAACAGACAGTTCCCTGAGCACAATGTCGAGAATCTGCAACGCTTCTTGCGGTCCATCTGCGCGTTTACCAGCTAGAAACTCGCCTAAGTGATGCATATTGGCCCTTGCAACAAACTTGATAGCCACTTTATATGATCTCTCTCTTCTACCAAAACAAACAAAGATGTGTCAAATATAAATCATAACACACATTAAAAACAAAATCACCTAGAGAAAAGAAGTGACATTTACCTAGGGCCATTGATGATACCGTCGTCTTCATCAAAGATCTTAACAGTGAACTCTTTCCAAGTGAAAGGAAGCTCTCCGGCGGTGTAAAGACTTTTCCGGCCGTCGTAAGCCGGAAGTCTAGTACCGAGATCAGACTCTTTGTAGAGTCTAACTAGCTCAGCAATTATAGCTCTGTTTACACTTTTTGATGACACTTCAGGAGTTATTGTAACCTGCAAAATCCGGCTAATAATATCAATGGACCCAAATAAAGCAGACATAAACAATAAGAACAAAATTAAAAACAGAGTACCCAAAAGATAACGACTTGTGAGAGAGTTTTTACTCCTTTCATTAAATTTCAAAAATCAGAGAACTTAATATTTCAGGAAACTGTCTAAAGTTTGAAGCTTTTTTCACTCATACAGCAAAACTATGAAAAAGGTTAAAACTTTTCTTCTTTTTTTCCAATTTTGGGATTAAAAAGGAGAAATTTTTAAAAACTTACATCATAATGATTCAAATCTTTGGTTGGTAAGTCGGCGAGGAAATGGTTAGCTTTAACGATGCATTTAGTTCCAAGTGTTCCAAATCCAGGTCTCGGCGCAAAGTTGGAGTTTTTACTCAAACCATGACCACCCATCTGCATCTGATGATTCACGGCGACGATCTCGGTTCCGGCGACGGGAGAAGTTTGTACCGGTGGTTTACGAGGACGAGAGCTGGGTCTCATACAGATATCTCCTTGGTCGGATTTTCGTCCACCGCGATTTCTTCTCCGGCTGCGGTTCTTCGACGGCGGCGAAGGTGAAGAAGCTTGGCTCTGAACCGCCGCCGTTGCCGTCGCCGGAGGAGAGACTTTACCGTTTTGTAGGGCTTTGGGATTATGTTGCTTTAAAGGTTGAAGAAGGTTGGGTTTGATTACTAAGTGAGTCTCTGAGGTTTCTTTCATTTGCCGAATCGGCATTTTCTCTCTTCTTTTCCGATTTGCGCTACAAAAAGAATGAAAACTAAAACTGATCCCTTCTTGGCTTTTTTCTACCTGCAAAATCATGAGGAAGAAAGAAACAAACAAATTAAGATTTAAAAATTGAAAACAAAAGTGAAAAAAAAAAACCCATTGTCAGATTGCATTAAATGGAGAAAATCCAGAAACCATGATGGTGTTTTGGGTTAGAAGAAGCAAAAAAATAAAAATCAAAACTTTGAAACAGTGAAGTAATTAAAAAAAACCTAAACATTTCACAGTTTACATGTTTTTGTTGTTGTTGCTTTGCTATTAACAAAGTTTCAGAGAAACCAGAAGGTAAAAAAATAGAACTTGATACAGAGATTAAAACCTGCACACACACAGACACAGGCCTATACATATACATAGATACATACAGGTAACAAAAAAGGAGAGAGACAAGAATCCATGAAATTAGAAGAAATTAGTGAAGAGACCAAGAAATAGAGGAAACCAATCAGAAACAAAAACCCAGAAGTTTGTTCATGCTGTTCCATTAAGACAAAAAACAAATACAAAGATTTAAGCTTTAGGGGGAAAATTGGGAATACCCAGAAGACAAAACCGGAGGAAGCTTTAAGCTTTTGTCTCTATTCGAAACCGGAAAATGAGATCCCGGAGAGAAAAACGGATAAGCCCAAGCAGATAATTACAAAGATTTTTCGAAGAGGGAAACAAAAATCGTAGCTTTTTTATTTTTTTGCTGAGAATTGGAGAGAGAGAGAGAGAAGAGCAAGTGAACAAAGGGAAGGAATAAACATCGAAAAGAGCAGTGGAAATATCAATATCTCCAAGAGAATTTTTTTTAAATTAAAAAAACTTTGAATTTATTGCTACGGAGAGAAAATGACCCGTCCAAAAAATAAACAGTAAATAGAAAAATAAATATTTAAAAACAGAGAAACACTCACCGACCAATGAAAGATCAGAGCTTGAGAAGATTGAGTGACGCTAGAGATAATAGCTTTCCTTTCAATGTGGAGAAAAAAAAATCTCAGAAGGAGAAGGAGAGAGAGAGTATGATGAATGATGATGATGATGAAGAAGGAGAAGAAGAAGGAGGAGGAGGATAAAAAGATGATTGTGATGTAGAAATTAAAAGAAAAAATGTTTTTTTTTTCTGTATCTCTTTTAAAGACGCATGCAAAAGAGGTTTGCTTTTGGGGCTTTGGTGTCTTTAAAATCACGTGTAAAGGCTTTCTCTCTCTCTCTCTTGCAGCCTCTCATCAGTCTTTCTTCACTCTTCACTTTTTTTTTGTCCACTTTTCTTGATAATTTTTTTTCATTTTTAAGTAAAAGAAAAGATTTGTTTTTACACTTTTCCTAATAATTCATTACGTACAAATTTCTTCTTTTTACTTAGCACAATGTGTTTGGTTTATCGCAGCATCTACCTAATTATGGATGTTAATGACCACACAATCCCAATTTAGAATAGTTAACTCATTACTCCTTATGGACTATTTACGTGTATATCTTTGATCCATAAACAGAGGTAATGTGAGTTTATTGTTGAACTTTTCTTATAAATCGAGCCAAAATCCAAAATTGTTTTCTAATTCCAAACGTTTTTTTGTCTATGTGTTTACAAGTGATTTTCACAGTGTTTTATATAACTATATAGCTTCAAATTTGGGTTTAGTTAATGGAGAAAACGACTTGACTACGACGACCACTTTACATGATTACATCCTTTTACTATTTTTGTGACCAATTGTACATATTTATTGAATTAGATTTTCTTGGATATATATATACGTTTATACGGATTTCTTATGTGTCAGCTTATTGCATTGCAGCTGCTTAAGCTTGATGGCCACTTTCTTTGTGGTCCGTATCTGTTAGTAGTTAGTACCACCACTAACGCGATGTATTTGCATATAAAGATGAATATAATAAATATAGATGTAATCATTTATATGTAGATATATAGATGTAGATAGATAGTGAAATGTTTACAATTTGAAAAATAATAAAAGCAAATGATAATGCACACGGAAGAAGGAATAATTCGAACTTGCAGTCTTCTCTTTTCTTTCTGCAGACCCCATTTCATGACTCTACCACCCTCTTTAATTTTGTTTTCTTCCTTTATTTTTCTGTTTTATTTATAGAGTATGAAACTAAATGAAACGTCCATCCATTATTTTATAAAAAACTGCATTAAGCAAAATTCATGTGAGCTATTTTAAACAAGCATCAGTGTTAGTGTTGTTAATATGGTAAGCATGATGATAACTAGTTAATCCAGGTGCTTGTAATCATCTGCTTACCATATTTAGGTGCAGTCACACTATTATCAACACAAATGCACTATATGGTATTGAAATTTTGTAACGCGAAATAATGTTCTTGAGTTTTTGGTGACAAAACAAAAGGTTGTTGCTACAATTAACAAAACATAGGTTAGATGTAATTTTATCTGTTTTTACAATATGTTTGATAATTTAAGATAAGGTTATATATTAATATATTAAGTTGCAAATTACCAGCTTATAATTCTTTTATTTAGTAAAATCTTATATGAAATGTAATTTTTGTAGTGACTCGAGTGTGATATGTGTAACGGTTAGTGAATGTTTTTTTAAGCATCAAATAGGAGAACATGTAACGTTTTTTCATTTTTCTTGTTTTTATCTCTACTAAAAAATCAAAACAGAAAAAGTGAAATCTTATATGAAACACAATTTTTTTGTAGTGACTTGAGTGTGATATGTAACGGTCAGCAAATTTTCTTTTAAGCAGAAAATGGGAGAACATGCAACGTTTTTCCACTTTCCACGTTTTCATCTCTATTAAAAAATAAAAAAGTGAAATCTCATACAAAATGTAGTTTTCTGATTCGAGTGTGATATGTAACGGTTAGTAAATGTTTCTCTTAGGCAGAAAATGGGAGAACATGAAACCTTTTTCCACTTTTCAAGTTTTTTGTCTCTACTAAAAAAAAAAGAAAAAAAAAGTGAAATCTTAAATCAAATGCAATTTTTTTTTGTAGCAACCCGAGTGTGATATGTAACGGTTAGTATTAAGGAAAGAGTATCATTCTAAACATACATGATCACTCACAATCACTACAATCACTCAATTAGATATTCATCTCATTTATTGTATGATTCTTGTATCTCTATTATATATAGAGTTGTAATCCTTATCATATCAATACAACACAATACAATTCACTTTCATATAGTCAATATGGTATCAGAGCAAATTTCGATTCCGAGTTTCGATGATCTAACGATCAAACTCATTTTCTTCTAAACTTTATTTTGCATTTTCTTATGAACTATTTATTTTATTTTCTCTCTTTAAGCATACATGCTTCCAAAACCAAGCTATATTGCTTTTTGTTTTCTTCAATTTATCACATGCTTTCATATCAAGCTACAAGCTTCCTGTTTTACTATCTTTTCTTGTTTTATTTTGTTTTCTTTAAGCCAAAGTGCTTCCAAATTCAAGTTCATCATGAACCTCTCTGAAACATTTTCTGTATGTGTTACACACGAAATTCTATGTGTCACACACAACTATGCAGAACACAATCTCTTTGAGAATTGACTCGCTCTTCTCAATGAGATTCTATCAGAGAATGACTCGCTCTTCTCAACTCAAGCAATATATGCTTCTCAACGCCAACAACAACAACATCTCCGACAGACCATTATCAAGAGATTCTGAATCTCACCATCATCGACATTCACTTTGTCAACAAAATTATCTATGCCGTTAAGTTTTCCCATGAGCACACTCCGCAACATGCAACTATTATTGGTCAACCTCAAACAGTTGATTCCGATTTTACTCCATCACTGCCTTGAGGTTGAGGGGGCGTATTAAGGAAAGAGTACTATTCTAAACATACATGAGCACTCACAATCACTACAATCACTCAATTAGATATTCATCTCATTTATTGTATGATTCTTGTATTTCTATTATATATAGAGTTGTAATCCTTATCATATCAATACAACACAATACAATTCACTTTCATATAGTCAATAGTTAGTAAATGTTTCTTTTATGCAGCAATTGGGAAAACATATACTCCTTCTATTTTATAAGTGTCTTTTAAGGTTTTTATACATATATTAAGAAAACATATTAAAATCTTTAATTAATACACTACATAATTTAATTATTTTGTTAATTAATTAAGTAAATGCCGTTAAAACTGTAAATTTATAGATAATTATGTATTGGAAACATAAAACTAACACTTATTTTAAAACAAAAATATAAGTCTAAAATGACACTTATTGTGAAACGAAAGGAGTAACATTTTGGAAACTTTTCAAAATTACATCTTTGTAAGTATCAATTTTCAAAACTACGTATTTATAATGTCTATTTGCAAAACTACATTTTTTCATTGACTAAAATAATTCTAACTTCTGAAACATAAACTCTAAACCATAAATTTCTCGGTTTTCCAAATTTTCATCTCTACTAAAAAATAAAAAAATCTCGATTATAAAATTTTAAATTTGATTTTTATTTATATTATGTTTCAAAAAAAAGGAAGTCAGTTTATAAAGTTTACGTAGAGAATTGTTTGTTTGTAGAATTATTCAAACTATTTTTTTTAATTAAGGGTACCATTTAATTAACTATTCAAAACATTTTTCATCAGCTGTCTATTTGGCATTTTTTTTATAACTAGCATTCAATTTTTCTGTAAACGTATTCAATTTCTACGTAGCGTAAAGTTGGAAATAAACTATAGCCGACCTATAATCAGTAACGAAATATGTAAGCTATTAATTTACGGAGGCGCATATATATATATTATCATAGACTTTATATTATAATGAAAATTTAGCAATGGATTTGTAAACGGATGGTTATGAACTTGTTATGATTTGTGAAGTGCTGCAGTGGTGCGAGTAATCATGTAGAAGAACCTCCACGTGAAGTTTATACACCTCAGATAGGCCCTACTTCGTTGGGCCCACAAGAAAAACACTGGCCGTGAGATCCATCATGATCATGACGAACCTCTTTTTATTTATTTTCATTTGTCTAACACTAAACAAAATCATTTTTCACAGTATGTTTCAAAGTACCACAGCAAAAAAGTTTCAAAAGTATATTCTATAAATTTACGATGAATAATGATGACAATGTTGGACTAATGGGGAAAGCTGAGAGCATTCTGTTGAAAATATTGATTTCCTATCGACAAAAAATAATTGATAGACATATGGTGTACACATATGCATATAATATAATCAACATTTCATTATTTGAAGAACATTGACTATTGCGACTGTAACTCGAAAAATATTGATGGGTTTCAGGGTTTCTACTAGAGATGGATGCAATGTTTCTTGAATTCGAGTCCTAATGTAACTTAGAGTCTACACATCACATCACTATATTCATACTTAACATGAAAAGTAGAAAGAACCTTTCAAGTTCTATAAAAAAATCTATGTTTTTTGCAGCTCTTCCTTGTTTTTTACACATGTCCTAAAAGTTTTAAATCGTTGCGATGTTTTTCGTAAATTAAGTCTCATGAAAAAATCGACCAACACTGCAGTAATTTATTCAGTTGGCTGACATCTTTTTGCAACTATCATTTTGACAAAGCACACATACACATACATGCATGTGTGTGACATTTATGCTTATGATTATTATTTTGTTGCTTTTTTTTGTCAACCTATGAATCTATAAGTGTATAAGTGTGTCTAGATATACAATAGCATATGGGTTAGTTTGGTCATGGTGGTAGCTATAGCGTTATGGGCATGATTTGTTTTGGAGTGACGCATGTTTTCTTTTACTATTTCTTATGATTGTTTTGTTTGTTTTCAGATTCAGAAAATATGACAAAACTGTGATTTTTAAATCTCAACAGATAACATTTTAAAACCAAATCGTATGTTTTGCATGTGTTTCGCATAGACCATTAAAATCGTTTTTTTTTAAAGAAACGTTCAAAATTGGGTCAAACATTACTTCAGCTGGTCTTCTTTGTGCTGCTTTTGTCCAGTGTTTTTTCTCATTAATCGAATAAGTTCAATCAATATTTATTCATTCCTTAAAACTGTATTTCGGATATGTTGTTAGAAAAATATCTTACTTGTATAGACAGTATGACGCCAAAAAAAACGTCTTTTTGGTGTTTTGGAGTATATGATAAAAGAAGTTACATATAACCAAAAAATAATTTACATAACAAACGTGTATCCAGTCAAATCAAGAACAGCATAAATCTTATATAATTCACCGGCTAACAGCATATAAACTTTTATTAAAAAATCCATCCAGAATATTTCTCAACATTCAACATAACTTTCTGGAATAAACTTTAATAAGATCGAAAAATTGATAAATTCTCAACACATGCAAATAAAAATAAATCCTTTAAAGAAATTGTTCTTGAATTGATTATACGAACTAATCAACAATTGCAAGCTTAGTGAAAATTTACATATAAAAATACACTGATATATACGAAACACTATGACGATAACGATTCGGGCATTATGCAAACATATACCGGCCTAACTGTTTCTTACATTAAACTTTGTTGGCAGAACAAAATATACTCTTGGCAGAATTTCGATATGGTTCCTATCATGCTCAATGCACGCGTGTGACTTTTTAATCATTGTTGATTTTTGTCAACAAACACTGTTCAGTTTAATGATCAGTTAAATAGACAAAAACCTGAGATTTAATTGTTTATATAAAGCTTTGATTTAACAATACCTTAGCATATAGACATTCCTAGCATTTTCTTCTGTTAAAACTAGTACATTCTAGTAGTTGTAAATATTGAACATGTGTGCATTCTTGAATTGGTTTCAGAAATAGCTGGAGAACCACTCTCTTATTTTTTTACCAAAAGCTATATAGGAGAACCACTTCCTTGATCAAAGAAACAAATTAAGCAAGTTATTATGAGTATAAGACGGAATGTACGTTCAGGTTAAGGTTATAAGACGGAATGTACATTATAATGTACTAAAATGGCTTGGTCTACGTTTATCATTTTCTTATATTAATTTGCTTATTAAACTTTGAAAACGACAAAATAGACATTTAATCTATGATTAAAGCAAACTTTGGGGGAAATTCCATATCTTTTTATGTGTGCCCTAATTTCTTATTGCTTCTTGGAAAGTTCACACTTGACAAGCACGATAAATCTTGCACGTTGGTGTAAACTTGTTTTATTTTATGTATTTTTAATTCACCAAACTAAGCTTTAATCTTTAAGTTTAAACTTTTAAATCATAGTAATACAAACATGTACGTTCTTTGTTATATGGTTACTGAAAGTTGAATTGAATTTTGAGGAATAGATGAGGGAAACAGTTGCAAGTGATCAGTTTGAAATCACCCAAAAAATAGTTTTAAGTTCATCATTTAATTTAACTGTTCACAAATACTCTTTTTGGTGTAACTGCTTATAAATACTTCTTCCGACATCACAACTTTAAAATTTTATTTTTACGCCCCGCTGGCCAGTGAGACGAAGTAATTTCTATGTTTAATGCACATTAAGAGTATATTTATAGTGTCAAGTGAATTTAAAAGGAAGAGGTAATATTAAAAAGATGTCAGAGTTGGCCTAAAACGGTGTATAATCTGCAAATCTGCCACTATAGCTTTTGTGTCATGCTCCTTTAGCTTTTTTTTTTGTTTACTTTAGATTAACAAATAAAAGGTAAATATTGTGTTTATTACCAAATATTTTATTTTTTAAAAAAGATCATTGAATTTGTAAGACTCTCTGCATATATCAACGGATAGTATTCGGAAATACCTTTTCCTAATTTATGTTATCGAAGTTTGCTTTTAATTGTTAATCTATTGTGATACAGTTGCTAATATACTTTTCTCGTGAAATCACCAACTATATAGAAATTCTCGAAACATGCATAGTTTGGAATCAAACTAAATTATGTTTATTTGTCGTGAATTTGAAAAGCAAAGAGACGAGAGACCACAAAAATGAAAGTAAATTAAAATAAAACTAATGCAAGTTACTTTACAGAGGCTCAGTCTTTTTTATCATCCTGCTGATCTTAGTCCTATTTTTGCTTTTCTTTATTGTGAAAAGCACCCCAAAGTGCACTTCTGTTCCCAAAATTTTGAACAAGTCTTATAAAAAGACTGAATAAATCATCAAAACATTATTTAATGTAAAAAATGAAATTTAAAGCGCCCAAGAATTGGAAAATATCATTTATTCATCAAATGTTGAGAATAAATCCAGGGTTTGTCGTGTAGTTGTCTTTGAGCAACACTCTTGCGAGAGTACATGGGACGGATTGTAAAGAAACGACATGACTTGTTTAGTGTTTACACTTTTTGAAAATTTTGCAGAATCTTTATTATTCTCCTAACTTAATCTTGAAATGGCAAGATCATCTTTATCAAGTGACTAAGTTTACGAGTTATTAATCCTGCCATATGTATCCATATGTATGATTAATAGGTTGCCCAAGGTGAAGCATAGTGTGTTTTTTTTTTCTATAAGGAAAGTAACTATAGGAATAGGATACGTGAGTAGAGATTTTGGGAATTAGTGATGGAGAAATGGTTATTTGTCGTTTTTTTTTCTTGGGTCATGTGTGGAGAGGCACTATAGTGAAGAGAACTTGATGCATCATTTTCACTAAAGGTGTTAAAAAAGAATTATCAGTCTCACATCTGCATAGAAATTATTGTTATAAAAAGTATAAAACCAAGATAACAAGGAGATAATATAATGCATGTTTTTTCATATTTTATTGGAGATGAGAAAAGGTGTGATTGTCTTGTTGTAGGGACCAACTTTAGTGTGTTCCAAAGAGACCTTTACTTTGCTTTTCCAATTCTATCAAATTGAAGTTATCCAGATCAAAGCCAAAACATAAAACAATGCGAACAAAACTAAAAGATATCTACATGTTTTGAATGGTAGTAATGGAATTGGACATACAAATTAGTTTGTGAATCATGCCAGACAAGAGTAATACACTACGGATCAAGTTTATGTTAGTTAAAGTCTCACATCAGCGGTTAGAGATTTTGTGAAGGACTATCTAAAAACCATGAACCAATCATTCATTGCTTATTAGTTTTTAAACCCATATTTAACTTGGTATGAGAGCATGTCTAAGCAAAGAAGAAAGTATGTTAATGAAAATTTCAGTCACTTAATTTATCATACTATCACAAATTATTAGAAATGTTACAATAAAAATTCTGTAGTGAATAATTTTGTCTTCTGGTATATCTCGACTGCCAGTCTCGAACCTCCTGCAAGCATGTTTTCAATAATCTTTGCATAATTGACAACAAATTACATTTTTTGAGATTCAAATCACAAATCTTTTGATGTAGAACCACAAATTGGACAATGGGGTTTCCACATTTCATATCACATCATATGTGAACTTTTTTAGAGTTGTGTTGACATCAAATCAAAGAAAAAGAAGAAGGATAGCACGGGCCCATTAGTAAAACGAGGCCCATTAGTAAAACGAACAGAGTTATATACTACAGTATCAACAAACAAGTAACCCAATTGGGCCTGTAATGTTCAAACTATAAAACTGATTTAATCATCATCTCAATTTCAAATTTGAGAAACTGCAAAAACTTGAAACAAACTTACAAAACTGTTTTTTTTTTTTGCATATGACATCTCCAAGCACAAGCAACGATCATCGATGCCTAAACCTAATATCAAAATGCAAATCCTTAGAAAATCTCAAGCAAATCCATGCCCAATTCCTCACAACCGGCCTCTCTCACCACACGTTTCCTCTCAGCAAGCTTCTTCACTTATCCTCCACCGTCTGCTTATCCTACGCACTCACCATCTTCCGCCGAATCCCAAACCCTTCCGTCTTCCTCTACAACACTCTCATCTCCTCCATCGTCTCTAATCACCAATCCACTCAAACCCATCTCGCGTTTTCTCTCTACGCTCGGATTTTAACCTCTAGATCCGCCGCGATCAGACCCAACCAATTCACTTACCCTTCTCTCTCCAAAGCCTCTGGCTTTCACCCTCGGTGGCATCGCCATGGCAGAGCTCTTCATGCCCATGTGCTAAAATTCATCGAACCGGTTAATCACGACCGGTTTGTGCAAGCTGCTCTGGTTGGGTTTTACGCCAATTGCGGGAAACTGAGAGCAGCTCGATCTCTCTTCGATCGAATTATCAAACCTGATCTAGCTACTTGGAACACCCTTCTCTCTGCGTACGCTAATTCCGGCGACGGAGAAAACGAGAACGATCTCGGTTTATCGGAGGAGGTTTTGAGATTGTTCGTGGAAATGCAAAGGAGCTCGCTTGTGAGACCTAACGAGCTTACTCTCGTAGCGTTAATCAAATCTTGTGCGAATTTAGGCGATTTATGTGGAGGCGTTTGGGCTCACGCTTATCTTTTGAAGAACAATCTGTCTCTTAACCAGTTTGTTGGAACTTCTCTAATCGATCTCTATTCAAAATGTGGATCTTTGAGTTACGCACGCAAAGTGTTCGACGAAATGCCTGTCAGAGACACTTCGTGTTACAATGCTATGATTCGCGGCTTAGCGGTTCACGGGTTTGGCCAAGAAGCTATCGGATTTTACAAGAACCTGATCTCGCAAGGATTGATCCCTGACGACGCGACTTTCGTGGTGACGATATCCGCGTGTTCGCATTCGGGTTTAGTCGACGAAGGTCTCCGAATTTTCAGCTCGATGGAAGCGGTTTACGGGATCGAGCCTAAGGTTGAGCATTACGGTTGTTTAGTTGATCTGCTGGGTCGATCGGGGAGGTTGGAAGAAGCGGAAGAATGCATCGAGAAGATGCCGATGAAGCCAAATGCGATGCTTTGGAGATCGTTTCTTGGGTCAGCTCAAGTTCACGGTGACTTGGAGAGGGGTGAAATTGCGCTAAAGCATTTGTTGGGGTTGGAATTTGAAAACAGCGGGAATTACGTGCTTTTGTCGAATATTTACGCCGGTGTTGACCGTTGGACTGACGTGGAGAAGACGCGGGAACTTATGAAAGACCACCGTGTTAATAAATCTCCGGGGATTAGTACCATTAATTAATTTTTTTTTTTTCTTGTTGCATAGAATAAAAACTTTTATGTAATTCAAATTTTTTTTACTACTAAGCCTACGGTAACTCGATACGTGTATCCTAAAGAACTATTACTATTATAGATGGTAGAGAAAATATCACAACTGGTTTTAAAATATTTTCACAACAAATCTTGTCTTTACTCGGAATATAAAAAACTTAAGAACAGTTGTTAGATTGTCGTTTACATGATTTAATCAAATAATAATAGTTTTGCTGGTGGAGGAGTAGTAGTACTAGGTGCTAATCGACACAAAAAGGTAGACCGGTATTAGACCAAAGTCTATTCATTATCCACTAATTGATATTTTTAATTTTTTTAAAATGATGTGTATATCCACTAATTGGATTAATACATAGTCCTAATCAAATCATGGATCCACTAATTGTGTCTTAATTACAAGATTTTTTAAAGATTAATCAATGTTCTTCTCTTAGGAGAAGCAAAAGCCATTTTGTAGTTTAATCTCCATTCCGGCCTTCAATGGCTTCTTCAGCCGCCATCGTCTTCTCCGAATTACCTTTTCGATTTTCACCAATCCGTAGCCACCGTATTACCCGTTATGCCCCTACACCCACCTCCGCCGTGTCTCTCCGACGACGCGGAGCACCTTCCCGCCGCGGACTCGCCGTGAAATCGGCGCTGATCGAGCCCGACGGAGGAAAACTCACCAACCTCGTCGTCGAGGAACCGAAGCGGCGCGCGATGAAACGCGAGGCGGAGACGGTTCCGGTAAGGATCAGGCTCAACCGCGTGGATCTGGAGTGGGTACACGTGCTCAGCGAAGGCTGGGCAAGCCCGCTCCGAGGCTTCATGCGACAGTCCGAGTTCCTCCAAACACTTCATTTCAACTCGATCCGGCTCGAAGACGGCTCCGTCGTCAACATGTCGGTCCCGATCGTCCTCGCCATCGACGACGATCTCAAGAGTCGCATCGGCGATTCCGACCGAGTCACGCTCGTTGACTCGTTCGGTAACCCAGTCGCCATTCTCAGCGAGTAAGTTTCCTTAATTTCTTGTTAACACGTTTCTTGTTCATCTCCGCTGTTTCAAATGTATGCATAAGAATCAAATTTGTGAAATTCTTGATTATGATTTATGATTGATTTTATGATTTATGATTGGAGATTTTAAATTTCTTAGAAACTGGTTATGATTGATTTACAATAGTATATAATCTAATTTATTATTTATGATTGGAGATTTCAAATTTCTTAGAAACTGGTTATGATTGATTTACAACAGTATCGAGATTTACAAGCATCCAAAGGAAGAGCGCATAGCAAGAACATGGGGAACAACAGCTCCAGGACTTCCATACGCAGAAGAAGCCATAACCAAATCAGGAAACTGGTTGATCGGAGGCGATTTACAAGTCCTCGAGCCGATCAAATACAACGACGGTCTCGACCGGTTCCGTCTATCTCCGTCACAGCTCCGTGAGGAGTTCACGAGGCGAGACGCGGACGCCGTCTTCGCGTTCCAGCTCAGGAACCCGGTCCACAACGGCCACGCGCTTCTCATGACCGATACTCGCAGGAGACTTCTCGAGATGGGTTACAAGAACCCGGTCTTGCTGCTGAACCCGCTCGGTGGCTTCACTAAAGCAGATGATGTGCCTCTCAGCTGGCGTATGAGGCAGCACGAGAAGGTGCTGGAGGATGGTGTTTTGGATCCGGAGACTACTGTGGTCTCCATCTTCCCGTCTCCGATGCTCTATGCTGGTCCCACGGAGGTTCAGTGGCATGCTAAAGCTAGGATCAACGCGGGAGCTAACTTCTACATCGTTGGCCGCGATCCGGCTGGTATGGGCCATCCGATAGAGAAGAGGGATCTTTATGATGCGGATCACGGGAAGAAAGTGCTAAGCATGGCACCAGGGCTTGAACGGCTCAACATTCTGCCCTTTAAGGTTAGGATCAATATTTGTTACTTACTTCCTCTAAATCTGAAACTTCTTTACAGGCTTTAAAGTTTGGTTTGTCTTGATATATAGGTTGCTGCATATGATACAACACAGGGGAAAATGGCCTTCTTTGATCCAGCTAGGGCTCAAGACTTTCTCTTTATATCAGGAACTAAGGTAAAATAATGATTCTAGGATCTGTTTTGACATCCTAGGTTTTGGTGAACTCATATGGATGGGGTTTTGGATTTGTAGATGCGTGGCTTGGCGAAGAAGAAAGAGAATCCACCAGATGGTTTCATGTGTCCGTCTGGTTGGAAAGTGTTGGTTGATTACTACGACAGTGTCAACGCGGAGTCTGGTAATGGAAGGGTTTCAGAAGCCGTCGTTTCTGCTTAAATTGCAGAGGTTGCGTGTTCCACAAGATTCATGTTTCCTGTTTGATAGGTGTTGTTTCTGTTTGAAGCTCTGTTCTGTATGACTGTATCCAATACACAGAAGCTTCCTAATAAAACCAATGTGCGTTTGTATAAACCATCTGTGTGTTCTTTGCTTTCTCTGGTGGATTCGCATCGATTTGTACCATATTTTGTGTACTGTTGTTTTAAAAAGAAAGACTTTGTGTGTTTTGTGTTTAACTGTTTCTCTTCTGAAAACATTGTGTAAGCTAAAAGCTAATGCATACAAAGATTACAGAATCAGTTGAGAGTTTTTATATATGTTTGTTACATGATGGTGGGGCCCATAGGCGGTGGTGGATCTATTCCCGGCGTTGGTATCTCCGGTGGGCGAGGCGGTTCCCAGTTTGGAGGCACTAGATCAGGTGGTCTTTCAGGCGACGGAGGTTTTGGTGTATCTGGCATCGGTGGAGACGGAGATGGTGGAACCGGAAACTCAGGGCTAGGATCTTGCGGCGGTCCAAGTGGTGGTGGGTCGCTGGGAATCGTCGTAACTTCCGGCGGAGTTTCTGATGGGTTTATCTCAGGTATATTAGGAAGCTCCGGGATTTCTAATGGAACCAACTCTGGTCCTCTACTTGGCCCTGAAGGTAACTCTTCAGACCCACCGGGAAATTGAATCTCAGGTGGACCGGTTTGGCTAACGACACAATTGAACCGAGGAAGAGAGTTGGTCAAGGACGTTAGCCCCTTTACCGGTCTAACCGATTTCGACGCCGCCACTAACCGTTTAGACTTGAACGAGCATAAGAAGAAAGAGCTTCTCATAAGATTTGCAGAAACCAAAGACATAACACAACTCCGTGACATTTTTCCGTTTTCTCCATTTTTCTTAATCCTTGCAAAGTTACAATTTAAGGTTCAAAGTACGTTGACACGTGGCACCAAGTACCAAGATACGTCTCACTGTGGCCTCACACGTTGTTGTCATAACACGTGGCAAACTAATAATATCACACGAATCTATTTCTGTTTTCACCTAAAAGAAAATATTTTCAACTTTTGTAAAATTTGTATGAATGTTATACAGTATTTAGTAGAAAAGGTCTGTTTATCTTTCTTTTATTCAAAGCACTAAAAGAAATTTATATTACACAACACTATTCGTGCACTCGCATACGAATTAAAAAAAAAATTGTTAAAAATCAAATCATACAGATAATAAATATAAATTCCGTAAGTACATCAAGAGAACCATAACAAAGAATTTTTCAAACACTATGAAGAAGACGTAACCGGAGTGATCCTAGGAACTGCAACAGGAAACTCATGAATCTCATCCATCCATGGGTTCGTCTTCTTAAGATCCACCGGATCAATCGTCTTCAAAGCTTTCCAAACCGCACTGTTACACTTAAAACCCGATCCAAACGCAATCTGCCAAGTCCTATCACCTCTCTTGATCCTTCCTTTAGCTTCACTATACGCAAGCTCATACCAAAGCGAGCTACTCGAAGTGTTCCCAAACCTGTTCAACGTCATCCTCGACGGCTCCATATGCCACTCGGACAAATCAAGATTCTTCTCGATCTCATCAAGAACGGCTCTACCTCCCGCGTGGATGCAGAAATGCTCGAAAGCTAGCTTGAAATCGGGAATGTAAGGCTTGATCTTCTTGACTTTGAAGACTTTGCGTGCCACGAGGGTCGCGAAGAAGAGAAGTTGTTCGGACATTGGTAAGACGAGCGGTCCGAGGGTTGTGATGTTTGTCTTGAGAGCTTCTCCGGCTATAGCCATTAGGTTCTTGGAGAGGGAGACACCGACTTTGCCGGTTTCTTCTGCGTTGTTGTCTTCTCGTTGGTAAACACAGCCGAATGCGTTGTCGTCGGCTCCTTTATGTGTACGTACGGTGTGGATGAGCTGATATTTTGAACGGCTGCGATCGGAAGAGCGGTTCGTGAGAAGTACGGCGGCTCCTCCCATACGAAAGATGCAGTTGGAGAGAAGCATGGATCGGTCGTTGCCTAAGTACCAGTTTTGTGTTATGTTCTCGGTGCTCACAACCAGTGCGTATGAGTTTGGTTGGACCTGCAAAATTGTCACGATTTGATAAGTAATGAGAAATTGTATATAAATATGAGTTATACAAGATTCTTTAATGTAGAGGAAAAACTACTGATACTGAAGTTTTACTTTGATATAATTACATAGAAAGTGTTACTGTAGTTGTCACATGTATATGTAAAAATAACATAACATTCCTATAATTGTAGAACATTTAGTTCAATTTGCCAAATAGCTTAGAGATTTAAGAAACTTGCAAGCACGTGCTACCACGTTAGATTCTTAAGTGTGTTTATTCAAATATTAAATCTTAGATCTATCATTTCAATATGTGTAACAAGTAACTGTAAATAATTATTCAGTAATCCTAATTCAAAGTAAATCACATAACACATGCAGTGTTGTGTGTAACGGAAAAAAAGTATAAGAATAAATATAATATTTAATTAAATTTTATATACAGTATGTCGATAGATATTTTTGTTGGATAATTGAAAAGAAAGAAAGAAATCAAGTGGTCATTAACTCAACATAATGGTTTTTCATTGTCACAACTACCACCAACCCACAATACAAAGACCAAAAGGTCTGTCATTGTCAGGATTCTCATAGACACGTGATTAACACGTAGACTTTATAACCTTTATGCTTCCATACAACTCATATGATTAAAAGTTGCATCAATCACAAATAATTCAATTCTTACTAAATTAATCATATTTGCATGTTAATAGCACGTATTTATGACATGAAAGCGAACTCAATCAAACAATCAAAATCTAGCTGGTAACTGTATTTAATGCTTAACTAAGTGAGAAATTCTTAAATTTTCTTATAATAAATTTTAAAAGTCCTGAGCTGTCGTTAGCCTTTTCAACATTTAAACGCCGAATAAGAAAAAGTCTACAATTCACGACGACTCATAATCTTAAAACAGATAATTCAAAACAGAATCGTAATTAGTATCAAGAAAATTAAATTAAAAATTTTAAATTACCTGAAGAAGCTGTTTAGCGAGATCAATGGAGATAAGACCAGCACTACAACCCATTCCACCGAGATTATAGCTCAGAATATTCCCTCTAAGCTTATACTTGTTCACAATCATCGCAGAAAGCGACGGCGTCGGGTTAAACAAACTACAGTTAACCACAAGAATCCCAATATCTTTCGGTTTAACACCGGTTTTCTCAAGAACAGCGTCGATAGCTCCGAACATGACCGTCTCTGCTTCTTTCCTCGCTTCTTCCATGCAAGGATTTGGAGGAACGCGGAGAAGAGCTTCAGGGAAGTAGGTTTTCTGACCAAGACCGGATCTTTCGAGGATCTTTTGTTGGAAAGCGAGGTTGTCTTCTGTGAAGATTCCTACACGTTGAGATCGGTCCATGAATGTTTCACGAGTGCAGATCAGTGAAGGGTCTGGTTTGTAGCACGAGAAGTCGAGGAGGAAGACGCGGCGAGGACGGGTGGTGAAGTAGGCGGTGGAGAGAGAGATTAAGAGCGCGGTGGCGAGAGTGGCGGAGAGGAAATGGAAACGGAGAGTGTTGTAGAGGAGAGTGAGGTCGTTGAGAGAGAAGGAGGAGAGGTTTGCGATTGTGGCGGCGAGGAGAGGGAGGAGGAGGATGTAGAGAGCGTTTGAGATTAGGTAGTGGTAGCCGAGTTTAACGTATTTGAGACGAACGGATAAGAGGAAGTTTGGGAGGTTGTTTGGGTTTTGGTCGGCGTTTGTGACGTGGACCGGGACAGGACGGGGGAGAGGTTGGTTTTGATGATCGGTCATGGTGAGGATGAAGAAATGTTTAAGCTTTTTGTGGTGGGGATGGTGAAAGTTTGAAGCTTTTTGTTGTTGTGAGGATGAATGAGAAGAGGAAGAGAGGGATTTGTAGAGAAGAGAAGTGTCAAGTGTAAGATTTGTTTTTAGTTTGTGAGAGAGAGAGAGGAGAAAAGAGAATGGCCTGAAAAGTTGGAGGAATTTTGAGAATTTAATGGGAAGTTTTTGAGAGAGAGAGAGAGAGACTTGGTAAATAAATGTAGTTAGGGGAAATGGGAAATATTTAAGGAAAAAAATCATGTTTTTATAGAATATACAAAAAGAATAACTCTAGCAAGTAGCAAATCAAATGTTGTCAAAAAAATAATATTAGCAAATCAAATTGTCCAAACTAGTAAGTTTGAACAAGTAAATGAATAATAACGATTATTTTTTTAGTGTAGACTGTATAGAACTAAAATTGTATAATTCATTAATTACATTTTTTTTTTTAAGTCCCAAACTCTATAGCAAACCATATTGAAATGCATAATATTTATTTATTAAATTATAAGTTTACAAGAGTAAATAAAAGTTATAGGGAGGGAGGATGCAACTACCCCAACGAAAGCTTTTAATGGTTTTAGACAGTTGAGAGATGACACCTACGAGACGCCTTATTGACTTTTATACAATTTGTGGCTAATATTGGCCCGTGTGCTTCGAATTTACTCTCATATCCTTCGTTTGACCTGTATTTGCGAAACTACCACCCTCCTTTGGCCAACTTGCTAGTAGACAATGAATGTGAGGGCCCACTTTTGTCAACGTGTGATGTTATGGTCTGAAGTGTCCCCGTGTGAATTGCGTATTCGAATATTAATGTATCCACACTCATATACAGATGAAAACCGATACAAAAAGTTCGTTGAACTAAATATGAGTAAATGTGTGGGTCACTGGAGTAAATCACTAAATATGAGTATATGTTCATTAAACATTTTCATGTATGTTTCATGGTTATTTAGTTGTGTGTTTATTATAGTATAATGAAAGGTTTTGCTTTAGGCCATATATAGGCGAACTTTGTTAATAATTTCAAGTTTGTTTTTCAGTATAATAAAATAAAACTATTTTCTCATTTTTGGTAAAAAAAAAACTATTTTATCTATCAATGTATTTTATTGTATAAAAATGTTGAACTCAACGATTTGTTCACTTAACTTTTGATAATTATATTTTGTAGTTAAACTACAACCATTTATGCAATTTTATCCATAAAAGTTAACATAGGAGTATCTTTTTAGTCTTTGGCTCTTTGCTATGCTTGTCAACTTGAATAACCTAGTGCTAACATATATTATTTGGATCTGGTTGGTTTTATTCGGTTGTATACTTTGTAATCAGATTGGGAACAAATTAAAAAGGGTATAACGGGGAGAAGAGTAATTTAAAGAAATAAATGGGCCAAATAAAGAAAGCTGGAGAAAGTTGCGGTGACAGCTTGAATAATGGAATGGTATGGAGACAGCATATTAAAGCACATGACACGAATTTAATTTGAGACACTCTCGAAATTTATTTCACTTTTTGACATTTCAATTCACGTCATCGCCTACCTCTTGGTCTTTTAAAATTGAAAAATGTAAAATGGAATTATTTGATAGATTGTCGGATAACTGGTACGTATTACAGTATTTATTAATAAGTCAACGAATTTATTTTTATTAATAGACAATTTATTTTTGTTACTGATATGTTTTCTTTATAATTTTATTATATAAAGTTGAATACACGCAATAAAACTTCAACACATAAGATTTTTATAACTCATCAAATTATGACATGTGTTATTATTAATTTTGAACGTATTAACATCGTGACATGTGTTATGAAAGAAAATAATAAATTTTGCTAACTAAAAAAGACAAAAAGTAAATAGATAAAAAGAGAAATAAAAAATTAATCTTTAATCCTTATGATAAAAGGGAAAAAATTTTTTAAAAAATTACAAGAAAGAATAATGAACATCAGAAAAAGAAGAAAAACAAATAAA